GACACCTTACCCGCAGAGACCCCTGAGAAGTTCCACTTCGAGCAGGGCAAGTTTCACTGCCACTCATGCCCGTTCCTGTGCTCCCGGCTCTCCTCCATCACCTCTCACGTGGCTGAAGGCTGCCGGGGGGGCCGCGGCGGGGGAGGAAAGCGAGGGGCTTCTCTTCTGAGCCGTGGGGACTCCGTCTCCCCCAGCAGTGGGAGTGCAGAGGGCAGCCCCAGGACTGGGGACACGGCATTGGCTCCAAAGCAGAAGGGGGCCCGCTTCTCCTGCCCGACGTGCCCCTTCAGCTGCCGCCAGGAGCGGGCCCTGAGGACGCACCAGAGCCGGGGCTGCCCCCTCGGAGAGTCTGGAGAGCTGCACTGCAGCCTCTGCTCCTTCACCGCCGCCGCTGCTGCCACCCTCAGGCTCCACCAGAAGCGGAGGCACCCCACCACCACCCCCCCAGCCCGCAGGCCCCGGCCCCCACTCCAGTGCGGGGACTGTGGCTTCACCTGCAAGCAGAGCCGCTGCCTACAGCAGCACCGGCGGCTCAAACACGAGGGAGTGAAGCCGCACCAGTGCCCCTTCTGTGACTTCTCCACCACTAGGCGGTACCGGCTGGAGGCCCACCAGTCGCGCCACACGGGGGTCGGCCGCATCCCCTGCAGCTCCTGCCCACAGACATTTGGTACCAACTCGAAACTGCGCCTGCACCGGCTGCGGGTCCATGATAAGACACCCACCCACTTCTGCCCGCTGTGCGATTATAGCGGCTACCTGCGACATGACATCACGCGCCACGTCAACAGCTGCCACCAGGGCACCCCCGCCTTCGCCTGCCCCCAGTGTGAGGCGCAGTTCAGCTCGGAGACGGCGCTCAAGCAGCATGCGCTGCGCCGGCACCCTGAGCCGCCCCCCACCACGCCGGGCTCCCCCGCCACCGAGGGCCCCCTGCGCTGCTCCCGCTGTGGGCTGCTATGTGCCAGCCCGGCCAGCCTGCGGGGCCACACCCGCAAGCAGCACCCGCGACTGGAGTGTGGGGCCTGCCAGGAGGCCTTCCCCAGCCGGCCGGCCCTGGACGAGCACCGGCGGCAGCAGCACTTCAGCCACCGCTGCCAGCTCTGTGACTTTGCAGCCCGGGAGCGTGCTGGCCTGGTTAGGCACTACCTGGAGCAGCACGAGGAGGAGGAGGAGGAGGCGGTGGTAGCAGGTGCGGAGACCCCGGAGGGCGGCGCGGGGGCCGGCCAGCACCCCCTGCGCTGCCCCTTCTGTGACTTCGCGTGCCGCCACCAGCTGGTGCTGGACCACCACGTGAAGGGGCACGGCGGCACCCGGCTGTACAAGTGCACCGACTGTGCCTACAGCACCAAGAACCGCCAGAAGATCACCTGGCACAGCCGCATCCACACGGGAGAGAAGCCCTACCGCTGCCACCTCTGTCCCTACGCCTGTGCCGACCCCTCCCGCCTCAAGGTGAGGCTGGTGGGGGGAAGCCACAGAGGCGGAGGGCGGGGAGGGGGCATGGTGGGAGGGGAAGGTGGACGGGCTCCGGGGGGTGGGGGGAAGCTCCCTGAGTCTTCTGGTCCCTACTCCTGGTTATCAGTTCTGGGATCTCCGTCAAACCCCCAAGCGGCCCCCCATTGAAGGAGGTGCTGATACGTCATAGCGCAGTTGCAAAGCGGAGATGCCCTTATGCAAGCATGGCCTGTGACGAAGGCTTTTATTGAGCGCTATTGCATGCTTGCCGTAATTTTAATCCTTGCAACACAGGAGGTGGAGTTAGTGCTGCTGTTTCTCATTTCACAGATTAATAGACTGGGAGTTTGGGCACAGGTAGTAAGTGGCAGAGCTGAGAAGGGGCAGACTGAGAGTTCGGCCCAGCAGGTTAGGTGTCGGCAGAGTGGCTGGACCCGGGAGCCTGCTTGGTGGAGGGAGCACGGCTGGGGTGGGAGCAACTTCACCGAGGACCAAGTGTGCGCATTTTCTAGGCACGCTCTGCTCTTCCCCCCCACACAGTACCACATGCGGATCCATAGGGAGGAACGGAAGTATCTGTGCCCCGACTGTGGCTACAAGTGCAAGTGGGTCAACCAGCTCAAGTACCACATGACCAAGCACACAGGTGAGTCTGTGTGGTTTCCGTGGGCCCATGGGGTCCCCCCATTCCTGGCACGCCCAGCCTCCCTGAGGTGGTGGATGTCCTTACTCAGATTCGGGGTGCACATTGAGGGGTGGGGGAGAGGCTGATGGGCCAGAATAGCTTCCCAACCCACTGAAGACCTGGGAGAATCAGAAGAGAGGTGAGCTTGAGGGCCTGGGTGTACTCTGTAAAAGCTTCCCTGCTGACCACGGCCCTAGGCCAGCGACCCCTTGCTGAGAGCCCCACAACATAAATGTGGCTGACAGAGGTCTGCTTAGTTATTGCAGACACAGTGGAGCTACTAGGAGTAATGGGAACATGAAAAGTTTGCCTGTTTTAGCTGCTTTGTTTCTCTTGGGTACGGAGTCCGGGAACTACAGGTGCTCTGCGGGTGGCTAAACAGCGACGTGTCTGTATTACGCATAGGATCCCCTCGCGTCCAGGCAATAACCAGATGCATTTCAGGGTGCTCTGCACCTACGGACGCCGCTCTCTTGCCTCTAATCCTTTCCCCTTAAGAATTTTCTTTTCCTTTCTGAGTTGAACATGGACTTCTCTGTAAATGGATCCCCAAGTTCCACAGGTACCCCATGATCATAAGGGGTTGGAGTTCCCCATCCAGAAACCCGATGGTATCTGAGTGAGTGGTCATCGCCGTCAGGCAGCTACTCAGGGGTCCAGTTAGTTATCAGCATCCATTGGGCACTCACTGTGCGAAAGGGGCTGTGTTGGGAGGAGGGCAGAGAAATGCCCGATGGCGCTGGAACATTCCACAGATGGCAGTTGTGAGTCAGTGTGCTGCTTGTGTCTTGTCCTGGGATCCCAGTGACTCCTGGGCCCGCTCCACGTGGCTCCACCAGCTCTGATTGTGACTGTGTCCGTTGGCCCTGCCCCCTCCCGTAGGCTTGAAGCCATACCAGTGCCCCGAGTGCGAGTATTGCACCAACCGGGCCGACGCGCTGCGCGTGCACCAGGAAACTCGGCACCGGGAGGCACGGGCCTTCATGTGCGAGCAGTGCGGCAAGGCCTTCAAGACCCGCTTCCTGCTGCGCACCCACCTCCGCAAGCACAGTGAGGCCAAGCCCTACGTGTGCAACGTGTGCCACCGCGCTTTCCGCTGGGCCGCCGGCCTGCGCCATCACGCCCTCACCCACACCGACCGGCACCCCTTCTTCTGCCGCCTCTGCAGCTACAAGGCCAAGCAGAAGTTCCAGGTGGTGAAGCATGTGCGCCGGCACCACCCGGACCAGGCCGACCCGAGCCAAGGAGTGGGGAAAGACCCCTCCACCCCCACGGTGCACCTGCATGACGTGCAGCTGGAGGACCCCAGCCCTCCTGCTCCTGCTGCTCCCCCGACAGGACCCGAGGGCTGAGCGCCTGCCCCTCCCCCACCATCACAGAGGGGTGGTCCCACACGGCAGACCTGCAGACCGGAAGCAGAGCTCGCCTGCGGCTCCAGGGCCTAAGGGAGGGCTGGCTTCGAGGTCTCGGGGGCTCAGGCTGTAGTACCGGGACGCTGATGGCCGTATAAGGAGTGACATGGACCACAGATTGATTTCCAGTTGAGACACCTTGTGTTTCTAACCCGTGAGTTCCCGCTTCCTTCATCGCTCCCCCAGAGCTCCCGGCTCTAAGACCTTGGCTTCGCCCATTCTGTCTTCCCCTTCCTCCTTGCTCTGTCTGGCCCTGTGTTTTTCCAGCACCCTCCAGACAGTTGTATCTGACCGCATGTGCTGTTGCGCCTCCTGCTCTCTGAAGCATGTTAAACAGAGTGGTGACGAGCTTACCGACGCATCCGTGTCCCTGACTGAGCACAGCTGGGCTGTCCTCTTGCTCTGGCCCATTCCCTCTCACACCTCTGTCTCTCCTTTGTCTCCTTCCATCTTCACTGAGGGATTCCGAAATGTTCCCGGGTCTGCCTTCCCTCTGCCCTTGAGCCTGTCTTGGCCCTTGCCCTGCTCCTTATTTCTGAGCCCCGAGGTCTACTTGTAGGTCGAGCAGTCAGCCTCCCCCTGGACGTAGCTTTAATTCGGCCTCCATCCTCAGCCTGGCCCAGCAGCCGCACAGGAGTTAAATCACAAGATAGTGGGAAAGGCGCACGACTTGAGGGAAGGGGGGTGGTGAGACTTTGTAATCCAGAATTCCGTGAGTTCCTCACAGTGACCGTATGCTCAATCATTGAAGCTGTGACACACTGGGGAAATGACAAAAGGTACTTTTAATAATTATAGTGGGGCGGTAGGCATAAACCGAGACTGTTCCAGGCAAACTCTCGGGAGGGTGTGGATCATGTAACCCTTTGTCTCCTCCTTTCGTCCTTGGAAGCCATACTTCTTCTGTACCCTTCTATGTAGCACATGTGGTGGGGGCGGGGGGCTGGACACTTATTTTTCCACCCCTTCCCTGCCCCACCTGTCTCCCCAAGTGTCCCCCAAGCTTCATGCCTCCTCTTCTTGCCCAGCAACAGACCATACTCAAGCCGAACTGGGTAGAAAAGCTCTATTATTACAGGTGGGGAGAGGGGAGAGCAGTCCAGTGGGGACTCAGGGCTGTGCAGTGTTCTCTCACAAGTCGTAGTATGGTCTTGGGGTTCGCCATCCTCCCCCAGCCTTTGCCTGGGGAGCCTTGAGGCTCAATTTCTCTTTCCCTTGGCTCTGGGCTTTGAGGCGGTTCAGGTGGACTGGTAATGCCTCTTTGTGTCCCTCTGGTCCAGGCCCCTCTCGGGCTGTCCAGCTGCAGCCAGCCTTTGGGCCAGCCAGGGCCAATGAGAGAGATTAGTCCTAGATCTGGGCAGGGGATTGAACCTATGGCAAGAGGAAGGAAGGAAGTCCAGTAGAGAGTAAGTGAAGAAAGGGGACAGAAAGGATACCACAGACATGAAGAAAGGGAAGAGAGTGAAAAATCAGGCCGTAGGTGTGCTTGTTAGGAAGAGTGAGGTAATTTTCGTGCTTAGGAATGCACAGTCCAAAATGATGGTTTTCACCACCTCTCTCTGCTTTCGGGAGCGTCCTTCCAGGTTTTTCTTACCATCTCAAGCCAGTGCACCCACCCTTCCCAAGAAGGGCCCACCTTAGGATTCATCCCCCTCCGGCCCTTCCCGGATGCTGATATGCACGAAGATGGAAGCCGGGTGGAGGCTGATGCCATCCTTGGAGAGCAGGTGTACGTGGCGGTAGCCTGCAGAGGGGGGAGGAGGGCGTTAAAGGGCGGCCGGGGCCAGGGTGGTGGTGGCAGCGGTGGGAGGATGGGAGGACCGGCCCACCTTGCTGCATGCAGCTCCAAGGCACCGTGTACTGCCCGATAAAGTCATTTCGGGATTTCCGGTTGTAGTCCTCGACCACAAAACGCAGCAGGGCCAGCTGGGGCACCAGGACCTGGAAGCTCAGCGTCTGCCCCCAGTATGGATTAAACCCTGGGGCAGGGCGGAGGAGAGAGGGAGTGAAGGAAACGACCTTGCTGGTTCTTTGCTTTAGGTGTGTCCCCTTGTGGTCTCGCAATTTTCCTTGCGATCAGCATTTCACAGGTGAGGGGATAGCGGCCCAGAGCGGATAAGCAATTTGTCCAGGTCACCAGAGCTCACAAGGGACCAGGATTCAGATCGAAGACATCAAAGCCCTTATTCTTTGTCCTGTTACACGCTGCCTCCCATGGAGGTGGGAGGGGGTGGGGACAGGGACTGTGTTTCAGGGAGGACAGTGCGGTAGGGAAACAGCCACGTTCCTCCCACCTAACTCCCACCGCCACACCCCCTCACCCCTGCCCAGCACAGCCCAGCACCGCCCAGCCTCACCGTTGTTCTCCACGTAGCTGGTCTCTTGCCGGCTTTTGTCTGGGCGGACGCCAAAGATCTCCACTCTCACCAGTGGATCCACGATGGACCTCTCTTTACTCGTGTCCTCCTTGGGGAGTTGCTGCCCGCTGATGACCTGCAAGCAGGACTCTGGAAACTCACTGGCTCCTGTTCAGCTCAGCCCCACTCCAGCTCGCTCTTACACCCGCCGGGGGGGTGGTGGGGGGGCAGGGGGAGGGGCACCCCCAGGGGTGGTGGGGAGGGCCAGGGGAGGGACACTCTAGCCTCTGGCTTTGAGTAATATATGCTCCTCTAGTAACCTATGTGTGATTTAAAATCCACCAGAGTAGAAATTGAACAAGGTTTGAAAGAAGGTAGGTTCAGCAAACCCTTTCGGGCCCTGACTCGGCCCCTGACTTGGCCCCAGGCATTGCCGTGGGTACTTTTAGATTACCTATCACAGCAACCCTGTGAGGGGGACTAGCATTCCTCCCATTTTGCAGGGGAGGAGCCTGGGGTTCAGGAACTTGCCCGGAGTTACACTAGTGAGCAGGTTTGAACCTAGGTAGCTGGTTCCCAAATCCCCACCATGCACGGGCTCGCCTGTCTCTCCTGAGGCGTTGGTCACCCGCTGCCTTGACCCCCTGCTTCCATCCTGCCCACTCCAAGTTCTTTCCCACGGTTTCGCTCACCACAGTACCTGGATTAGGAGGGTCTGGGCCTTGAAAGGGCTGATGGGCCGCTCAGGGTGGAAGGAGCTCTGGGCATCACGCAGGAAGTCGGGCTTCAGCACGTAGCCACAGCCACCGTTCTGGCGGAAGAACCCGTCACAGATGTCCATCTCCAGCCCCGCAGTCTGCACGTTCATGGCTACTGTGGGTCCCGGGAGAAAGGGAGGGAAGCATATGTCTCAGGAGCCCTCTAGCCCCTCTTTCAGGGAATGAAGGAGATGGATTGGGTATACGAGGGCCTGCTGGGAACACCCTCCATAGATCACATCTCTGTCAGCCTAGCACCCTTCAAGCATTCCCTGACCCTCCTGGCCGGCCCCTGGGGCATGTAACCTCCCCGCTGTTGCTGCTGCCCCCTCACCCATCTGGCAGCCAGCGTTCCAGAGTTCCTGGGGGTTGTAGTTGGACGAATCTGTCCTCAGGCCGCTGGGGTACACACGGCTTAGCTGCCAGGCATTGTGTTGTACAAACTCGTTGCCTGCATAGAGGGTATAGTAGGTAGACAGCGATGGGGGAATCTCTCCACTTTCCTGGCCTTGGGGACACTGCCTACCCACTTCGCTTTCGTCCCCAGCATCTCCTGAGGCCAGATCTCCTCCCCCTAGAGCCTTGAGCCCGCTGCTCAGAGCTCCTATCCCAGTACATGCTCTGAGGAGTCGCTTAGCTCCCTCATCCCTCCTTAGGCCTTTGGTCCTCTTTCTTGGGACTTGTCCTCCTGCCCAGAGCCTGACCCTACCCATCCCAATCCCCTCCCTGGCTCTCCCTTTTGGTCCTGACCGGCCTCCTTGATGAGGCTTCTGGCCTTGGCTTCAGAGAAAGAGGAGGTCTCATAGAAGCGGTAGTGCTCCCTCGAATGAGTGAAGCTGTGGAATGAGACAGACTTCAAGTAGACAACCAGGGCAGAGAGGGATGGGCACAAGATGGGTTTGGATTTCTGGAAGAGGAGAAAACAGAGAGAAAGATGGAATTGAACCTTCAGCGAGCCGAGAGGAAAAGAGCCGATGGCCAGGATCTGAATTTCCCCATCCAACCTAAGCCTCTGCCCACTGCCTCCCCTTTGCGTTCTCCCTCCTGCCTCACCTGCTTGGAAAAGAGAAGGGACCCAGCCTTGGAAATAGGAGCCTGAACCATAACCTCACAACAGATAGGCGGACAAAACAGCGGACACATCACAACCTGGGGATGGGAATGGGAATAAAGGCAGTCCTTTGAAACCTGATGGTATCGGTTTCAGCCTCTGGGCTTAAAGGGTCTGCTCTACTGTTACTTTCTGGGTAACAGGTTTTTGATGATTATTTTGAAGTAGAGAGGTGTCCTCCTTACCTCTCGCCTTTTAAAAAACCATTAATAGTATATTTTGGTCAAAATGCTCATGAACCCAGACAGTTAATGTCGAGGTATGCAAATGTCCGGGGAAGTCACACCAGAAGGATGTGAGGGTCCCAGAATAATATCTCTACATTTTTCTCCTAAATTCCCATTTCCTTCCCTGGACATGGTAGCAAGCTAGACACCACAGCCCCAGAGAGGACAGGATAAGCTAGAAGTTAGCTAAGTCAAGGAAGAGCATGAGAATGAGAAAGGCAGACTTCTAACCAGGATCTTGGCTGTCCCACCAATGGCACCCCTTCCCCACAGGGAGCTGGGCCACTTGGGCACAGTCTTCTCAGAGCCCTCACCTTCCCCAACTCTTTCTGCTCCTTTTTTTTTTTTTTTTTTGGCCCCTTCTCAGACTCACCTTTTCCAAGAAGCCTCTAAGCCCATTTCAGATGCCATCACAGCAGTCACTTGAGTAAGCCCTACGCCCCAAGTACAATAGTGCGGGTACACAGTCTCTCTCTCTCTCACACACACTTGCGTGCATGCACGCGCACACCAGTGGTTTTCAAACTGGCCTTTAAAGAGACCGAGAAGTACAAAGATGTCTCAAGAGTCCTCAGGGGACTCAGGAGAGACCAAATGGGTGCTTCAGCTGGGATGGCTCCGCTTCGATCTCTTTTGTACACAGAGTTCCCATGTAAGATTTCAGTCACAAACCATTTCGTGGCCCAAAGAAGTCAGAAAGCCACTGCCATCTCTCTCCATACGATAGTAAATGGTGATGCCATGCGTCCCCCCTTACAGTTCTTTCACTGGGGGCAAGGGGCGTTTTGCTGCTTGGCCCTCCACCCTGCCTGGCTCACTGGTCTCTCCACACATGAACTCCATTTACAATACAGACTGACCAAATGCCAGAGCAGAAAGACCACCCTCCTGGCGCACCTTCTCCTTCTTTTTGTCCTTACTGCGCGGGCTCAACTCCTGGGACTCAGACTCCAGCTGGGCCTCCAGCTCTGTGTCGGCTTCCTGCTCCCTCTCCAGCTCGCACTCTAGCTCTTCCTCCTCTTCCTCTTCCTCAAGATCCTCCTCAAGTGTCCTTAACTTCTTCCCCTTCACCAGGATCTTCCTCCGAAGCTCCTGGAGATAGAAATGAAGGGGTTTGTTCCCCTGTCTGCTCTGGGACCCTCTTGGGGAGCCCTGCGGCTCCCAGTGCTCTCACAGGACCACCTCAAAGGCAGAAGACGTGAGTGGGCTAGAGTCCCCATGGGGTGGCTGCCTGATACGTACAGTAGGGGTTCCTGTCATTAAGCCAACTCGTCACATCTCTATCCAACTGGAAAACACAAAATAAAAAATACCTCACATATGACACATAGAGATTCTGCCCATATTCAAAATTTACATGTAAATGAAAGGACATAAGAGTATTAGAAGAAAATGAAGAATCTTTTTGAATAATCTTAAAGTAGGAAAGGCTTTAGAAACAGGAGATGAGGGGCGCCCGGGTGGCTCAGTTGGTTAAGTGTTCGACTCTTGGTTTTGGCTCAGCTCATGATCTCAGAGTCCTGAGATCGCACCCTGTCGGGGACCGTGCTGGGTGAGGAGTCTGCTTGAGATTCTCTCCCTCTCCCTCTGCTCCCACTCTCTCTCAAAAAAAAAAAAAAAAAAAAGAAAGAAAAGAAAAGAAAAAAAGAAGAGAAAAGAAATAGGACATCTCCTGTTATCATCCGTAACTCAGAAGACATACAAAGGACTGTCCTATTTGACTACATAAAGCTTAAAATCCTCCCTACGGCAGAAGATGCTATGATCCAAAAGCAAAGGCAGCAAAAACAGAAATTTCCCAAAGCATCAATGTCTTTAACATTTAAAAACTTGTTATATACTGGTAAAGAGTATAAACCCCAATAAAAGTGGGTAAATCATATCTATTAATTCAAAAGAAGAAAATATAGACTCTTGTTTTTTATCTTATTTTTTGAAATATTTTATTTGTCTATTTGATAGAGAGATCACAAGAAGGCAGAGGCAGGCAGAGAGAGGGGGAAGCAAGCTCCCTGCTGAGCGGAGAGCCCGATGTGGGGTTTGACCCTAGGACCCTGAGATCAGGACCTGAGCCGAAGGCAGAGGCTTAACCCACTGAGCCACCCAGGCACCCCTAGACTTTTCTTTTTTCTTTTTCTTTTTTTAAAGATTTTATATATTTATTTGACAGAGAGAGAGATCATAAGTACACAGAGAGGCGGGTAGAAAGAGAAAGCAAGCTCCCACTGAGCAGAGAGCCCAATGCGGGCCTCGATTCCAGGACCCTGACTGAGATCATGACCTGAGCCAAAGGCAGAGTCTTAACCCACTGAGCCACCCAGGTGCCCTAGACCTTTTTTTTTTTAACTTGACTTTTTTTTTTTTTTTTACCACATTTGTCACTGTGAATCATCTTACTACTGAAGTTATTTGTGGTCCATCTCTTACACTGTTGGTCAGAGTGCAACTTCCTTTTTTTTCCAGAGGGCAGCTTGGCAGTAATAACCAAAATATCAACACAAGTACTCTTCAACCCAGCAATGCACTTCTAGGAATCCATCTCAGAGAAAGAGTGAACAGGGCGCCTGGGTGGCTCAGTTGGTTAAACATCTGGCTCTTGATTTTGATTCAGATCATGATCTCAGGGTTGTGGGATCAAGCCCTGTGTCAGGCTCCATGCTCTGCAGGGTGTCTGAGATTCTCTCCCTCTGCCCCTACCCACCCACCTCCTGCATGCTTGTGCTCTCTCTTTCTCTCAAATAAATCTTTTTTTTTTTTAAAGAGTTTATTTATTTGACAGAGACACAGCGAGAGAGGGAACACAAGCAGGGGGAGTGGGAGAGGGAGAAGCAGGCTTCCCACTGAGCAGGGAGCCTGATCCAGGACTCATTCCCAGGACCCTGGGATCATGACCTGAGCCAAAGGTAGTCACTTAACAACTGAGCCACTCAGGTGCCCCTCAAATAAAGAAATCTTAAAAGAAGAAGAAGGGCGGCAGTAAATGGACAAAGCTATATGTACAAGTGAAAAATTACCAATAACCTGAATGGTTACTATTTGCTGGTTAAATAAATAATGGTTCACAACAGAAAATGGAATCCCACAGAGCTACTAAAAGGGAAAAAATTATACACGAAAAGACATTCATAATATCTATTGTATGTGACATATAAAAGGGATATAGAAAATGACCCCAAGCGTTCTTAGAAGTGCAAATATGTATACACCTATGAGCCATCAGGAAAAAAAATCAAGATCATTCCACTGAAAAAGGAAATAAGAAGAAAATAATTGATTTAAAATTTAGAAGACCTATGCCTTCAACTGGACTTTTGGAAAATTCAAATTGTCTCCAAGGATATTTAAGAGTAAGATGGTCCATGGACGGCTGAGAAGGAGGGAACAGGAAGGGCATGGAGGGGCAAGGGTGGGAGAGTATGGAAACCATGGCAGAGCCTGGGCTGGCGGATGAGGGTGCCTACCTCGGGCGAGGGGAGCTGAGTGGGCAGCAGCCCATCCAAGGTAGTGCTCAGCAGCTGCTCCCCCAAGATCTCGGTCAGATGGTATGCCATGACCTGCTGCTGCTCCCAGCTGCAGTGGTTCTCCAGGGACAAGATGACTGGATAGTCTGATGTCTGATGGGGAAGGGAGAGAATGCTAGAGCCAAAGATTCAAAATATGGAACCTCCCTTCCTCTCTAGACCTCTCCTGGTGACTCACTTGGAGTACCCTGATTGCCAAACCCCTCTGACCCTGTTCTGGGCATCAAGGAGGTCTTGCTGTGTCTGGGGCCCACCCCACATATTTAAAAGTCACTGTTGGGATCCCAAATCTCAGACCTATACCAGCTGTGCCGAGGTCCCTCTGGGACCTTTGAGCTTTTAGGCTCAGAGTGGGAAGGCTAGGCCATTCCCCTGATTATGTGTTCATGTTATACTCTCATCTCCAGACTCCTGTTGTCCCCCAGCCCTACCCACCACTTCTTCTGTTTCCTTATCCACCCTCTCCAAGATGGATGACAGTTGTCAATGTCTAGGGTGTTGTGTCAGTTGTAAGCATAAGGGTGACTGTGACTAGAAGTAAGAGTTACTGATCCCTAGCAATTAGCCCTGGGACTACTAACTACTAGTGACACATCCAACCCTTATTCACAATCCCTCAATATTTATCTGATGCTTCCCAGTTAAAATCTCTTGTCCGTCTCGGCCATTTGACACAGCCTCCCCCGCCCCCATCTACCTTTTCCAGATCCAGAGGCAGCCACTCTTCCCTCAGATCATCTTCCCTCTCTAGGACACCCATCCTGGGACTCCTACCTGGAAGGCGTACTGCGCCACAGTGGCCACGACATCTTTGAATGGGATGCGGGAGGTCAGTGTGTGTCCATGGTAAACGATAGGTTCCCCGCTAGGTCCATCCCATATATCCACCTCCACACAGCGGCACCCCCTCTTCAGGGCCCTGCAAGAACCCCAAGCCCCCAGGGACAGAGAGATCAAGGTTGTATCATCTGTCTAGGGACTCTCTCCCCACTCTGGGGAGAACAGCGCTCACTGGCACTTAGTCCCCAAGACCCCTGCAAGCTTCATCTCTGTGAACCCTTCCCTGTCCACCGGGATACTGCTATGGCTCATACTACTTCTACTCCCTACCCTCTCCAACTCACGATCTTCCTTCAACATCACGTATTGCCTTGTGATGCTTCTAGTGTTCTGGTTGTATGGCATTCTGCAACACCTGACTTAGTCAACCTCTCAGTAATTTGTTTGTTTGTTTTTAAAGTAAGCTCTTTGGGGGCACCTGGGTGGCTCAGTGGGTTAAGCCTCTGCCTTCAGCTTAAGTCATGGTCTTGGGGTCCTGGGATCCAGTCCCACAACAGGCTCTCTGCTCAGGCTCTCTGCCTGCCTCTCTGCCTAATTTTGATCTCTTGCTCTCTGTCAAATTAAAAAAAAAAAAAAGTAAGCTTTACGGCCAATGTGGAGCTTGAACTCATAACTCCCAAGATCGAGAGTTGCATGCTGTACCAACTGAGCCAGCCAGATCCCTCTCAAACTCTCAGTAAATTTATACTTTATCTTCTCTACTAGACGTTATAGGGCAAAAACAATATGTTCCACTCATCTTTTATACCCTGGAGCTACTAGATCAGTTGGTGCCACTACAAAGATTATCTTGACTCTTTGACCCAATCCATGATTAATCACTGTAAAAGCAGTGATCACTTATTGGCTATTAGCACATGGATTATCTCATTTAATCCTCACAACAACTCAGACAGATAGGCATTGTTACCATCCCTATTTCACAGATGGGGATACTGAGGCCCAGAGAGGTTAAATACTTAGAACAAGAGCACCAAGTGAGACAGCTAGGATTTGACTTCATATGGTCTCACTCCAGAACCTATGTTTCTAACTTCTGTGCTCTATTGCCTTCCATGTAACATTTAGTTTCTTCTTCTGTTCAAAATAAATCTGTCAGGACCTCTGAGTTCCAAGAGAGTTTCACAGCCTATGAAAGAGAAAGAAGCTCCATTTACCCATAGAGTTTCAGTACTACCCTCCTGTCAGTCTTCAACGTCTCCTCCAAGTCTCTCAGGAATCCAGGGGTCCTCAGTCCCAAACCCCCCACAACATCTTTTTGATCCCTGTTATCCACTGACAACACAGATGGCCCCCTTTCATGAGCGGGAACCCTTCCCCCTTGCTCCCCATGCACCGTATGTATCCCTCGACGCTGCTCTGGCCATAAAGCTGGTCCCCCACGAGGTAGGTATTGTGAGAGGAGTTGATGTAGTAATGGTTCAGGGGTTGAGTCATATCCTGGTAAACCGGGAGGCAGGTTGGGTTGAAGATATCTCCATCCTTCGAGCAGAGGTAGTTGAGGAAACCGTCCATGCTCAGCACGTGTCGCAATTTGCCTGAGGTGCAGAATAGGGGAAGGCTACAGTGAGAAGCTCTGAGTTAGGGCATCCCAGCACCCCTCCAGCAGAGCCCTCACTTTGCCCCACTCCAGGGTCCTGCCTTTCAGATGGCATCCACTCCCGGCCTCCAGATGCCAAATGTGCCCCACCCACCATCTGTCATTTCAATCATCCCCACCCTCAGGGAGAGTTAAAGCCACGTGGAGAATCATGAAGACCATTCTAGTTCAGTGGTAGCCAATAGAACTTTCTGCAATGATGGAGACATTCTCTTCTGTGTGGTCCAGTACGCTAGCCTCTAGACACGTGTGGCTATCGAGCGCTTGAGATGTGGCTGTGACTGAAGAACCGAATTTAAAATTTCGATATTAATTAATTCATTCATTAAATATTGGAAAGTTTTTACTTATTTATTCATTGACGTAATCTCTACACCCGAAGTGGGGCTCGGACTCATGACCCCAAGATCAAGAGTCATGTGCTTTTCCGACTGAGCCAGCCAGATGCCCCAATTTTAGAGAATTTAAATTTATCTTATTATTTTTAAGATTTTATTTATTTATTTTTTAGTTAGAACACGCATGTGCATGCATGTGCACGAGAGTGGGGGTGGGAGCAGAGGGAGGGGGAGACGGGGAGAGAGAGAATCCTAAGCAGACTCTCCTGAGTACAGAGCCCAACATGGGGCTCATTCTCAAAACCCTGAGATCATGACCTGAGCCAAAATCAAGAGCGGAGGCTTCACGGACAGTCACCCGGCACCTTGTTAATTTAAATTTAAATAGTCACACAGAGGGGCGCTTGGGTGGCTGAGTCACTTGAGCATCCATCTTGGTCCCAGCTCAGGTCATGAGCTTGGGTTTGTGGGATTGAGCCCCATATCATAGGCTGCTCTGCACTCAGTGTGGAGTCAGCTCGTCCCTCCCCGTCCCCCTCTGCTCTTCCCACTGCTCATGTGAGTGCCTGCACTCAAGTGCTCTCTCCCTCTCAAATAAATAAATAAATAAATATCTTTAAAAAAACCTTAAAAATAATAGTCACATGGAACTCATGGTTAGCGTAAGGGACAGCATAGTGTTCAGTGTAAAGGGCTAATTTTATATATGGGGAAACTGAGACCCCGAGACCAACAAAGTCAAAGATTTTTAGCGACGTAACCAAGGTACCTGTGTTCCATTCCCTGGGCTGTGTAGCCGCTCCAGCTACAACCTGAGGGTTTCTTCCTAACATCAATTCCCGTATGGTGTTTTGAAGAGTGTTTGTCTGATATACCCCTGGACTATAATATGCCCAAAGGGCCTGAGTTAGGCCCTTTGAGGGCAGGGCCCTGTCACTCCTTCCATAGCCCTCACCCGTCATACCGACAATAACAAGTACCAAGCACTGGCTCCGTGCCCAGGACACTCCATGCAGTGTCTCTCTGAATGCTCTCACCAACGTGATGAGGTAGATAGAATAGAATCTGTCCAGGGAGGTTAGGGAATAAAACCAGTAACTGGAGGAACTGGGATTTGAACCCCGGCTGGCAGGTGTCTGAGCTATGCCCATCCCACTGGACTGCACGGTCTCACTGAGGGGAACACTGCTGCGGGGGGGTGAGGGGGCCTTGGGAGGTGGAACACCTCGAGCCCCATGCCCAGCTTCGTCACTCCAGCTTTGACAAGGCCTACAGATAGTGGAGAACGGCCGGAAGTCAGGCAGGAAGTTTCATTCTTAACAGTAAGGACTTAACTCGAGAGAGTAAACCCACCGTTGCCGGATGCCTTTCATGCCTGCCATTTCATTTGGTCACCAAGTGTTTTACGAAACAGAAAATCGAGCCTCTGTGGGGTTAAGCAGCTTGGCCAGGATAACTCAGCTAGTAAGAAGCACAGTGGGGCCTTGAGCCCAGGTCCCCTGGAAGAGACTACCCCTGCAGCCAGACTATAGTACCTGAGAGCTGAGTGCAGGGGTGTGGACACCACCCAGAGGGGCACGCGGCAGAATAAAAGTAACTGATGTGTACTGGGTCCTGCGCTGGAGAGAGAAGATCTTATTTCTTAAACTTTATGCATTCCTCTCCTATTTATTTTTCTGAAATGATTGCTTCACGGCCCCCTTTCTTCCCTGAGCACAGACATAGAATCTGGAATCAGTGATTCCAACCCTTTCTGTTTGGCGGCGTTCTTGTCGGACCTTCTGCTGTATCTCTGGAGCTGAGCCTAGGTCCTGGCTCATGACAGGGACTCAAGAAGCATCAGCTGAAGTAGTGAGTGAGTGAATGAATGAATGAATGAATGGAAGGAGTGGCAGTTGAGACCTAGGAAATGTGGGTCAATTGTCCAGCTCTCATTCATCTCATCTCTCTCTCTCTCTAAGATTTTATATATTGGGGCACCTGGGTGGCTCAGTCATTAAGTGTCTGCTTTTGGCTCAGGTCATGATCCCTCAGTCCTGGGATCAAGGCCAGCACCAGGCTCCCTGCTCTGTGGGGAGCCTGCTTTTCCCTCTGCCTGCTGCTCCCCCTACCTTGTGTTCTCTCTGTGTGTCAAATAAATAAGCAAAATCTTTTTAAAAAATATTTTGTTTATTTATTTGAGAGGGAGAGAGTGTGCAAGCGAGTGCACAAGTGCAAGGGTAGGGGGGAGGAGCAGAGTGAGAAGAGTAGAAGGAGAGGGAGAAATAGACTCCCTGTCGAGCAGGGAACCTGACTCAGATCCCAGGACCCTGAGATCTTGACCTGAGCTGAAGGCAGATGCTTAACCCACTGAGCCACCCAGGCACCTCTCATCCGTTTCATCTCTAATTCTCATGCTCAACAGAGCTCTTAGGTAAGTGGTAAGGTGACCGGGGTTTGAATCCCAATTCTTCTTCTCATTAGCTGTTGGCTTTGAACAAATCATTTGACCTTTCTAAATTCGAGTTTTCCTCTTTGGCACAACTGACTTAATAACAGAAGCCACTTCAACTGGTCCTTAGAAGGATGAGAAGAGAAAAGACATGTAGGGATGTTAGCACATTAATGGTATATTTAGCAGAAGCTAAATAAGGATTATGCTTTCGATTTACAAGATTATAGCAAGGGCTAGAGGAAGTAAGTGATATGAAAGTACCTTATAAATCATTTATTATTGATGTAAATTCCTCTCATTCTGGAGGGGATGGAGGGCAAGGTTATGTCTATCAAAGGAACAAGGAGAAAGTGCTGAAGACAGAGAGGGCCTATTTGAGCTGTGCTTGCTGAAGCTAGATGACTGGCCTCCTCTTCAACCTCCTCAGTCAGACTGACTAGCTTCCTGGCCCAGGGGCTTGGCCACTCCAGAACCACTTGGAGAATTTGGAGAAAGCTCAAGAAAGGGCAGGGAGCCAGCATTTAAAGAAACAGCAAACAGAAACCGTGAAGGGAGATGTAAGAAAAGGAATCAGGTGCTTATGAAGACGCAAAAGGGAGAGGACCAAGGACCTTCCTCTTCCACTGGGGGCAAACGTTAACATCGGGAAAAACGTTAACATCAGGACAAACTTACTCTAAAAGTGGAGCATGAACATTGTGGAGGAAAGGGAGCTTATGGAATGTTCTTCCTTCTGGGGGATACAGTGTTATGGAGGAGACTCCTGTCTTACCTGGGCAGGAAACTGCTGGTCTCCTTCCCTGGGAGTGGTTGAATGAGGTAAGCTGCTTGTACAGGGGCTGGTGTAGGTAGGGGTGGGGCTCAGCGTTCTCTGAGTTAAGCAGAAGGTGGCTTAATTCTGGACCTTTCTAAAGTCCCCCTCCTCGCGCATGTCCAGTGCCCCTCCGCCCTAACCCTCTTACCACTATCTGAGGGCTCATAGCGGTCGATGAGTTCCAGAGCAAGGTCAGAAGCTCGCTTTCCTTCTTTCTGCTCCTCTTGGAGGAAGTCCACAAATTCCAGCAGGGTCAGCTTCTGCCCATCCGCCGAAAAGTTTTCAAACAGCTCTTGCACCTCTGTACGCTTAGTCAGCGCCTTATAGAACTCTACAAACTCTTGTCCCTCCAGAGTCCCAGACTCGGACATGTCTGCTGCCTGCAAGTGAGGGTTTAGAGGATGGTGGAAAATTCCTTTTAAGAGCACATTGTATGGCCATCTGGCTGACAGGTGGGTACAAACATGTTTCCACAAAATTCTCCCAGGGGTCCTGACACTTTGTGTTCATAGAAGCCGCTTTGGTAAGGAAAAAACAAAATGGCAGCCTTGCCATTTGCTACTAGAGAAAAAATTTCTATTAGAAAGGGTTAAATGTCCCAGCAAGTGCCTAAAAGGTCTAAAGATCCCTCTTCCTATTTCATTCACATTCCGGTGGGACTTTTCCATTGTGACTAGGCACCTAGGAAGTTCTGGTCATGGACAGAGAGGTCCTTGAGATCTGACACAGTAACATATGGTTGTTCCCCCTTCATAAGACTAGGCATCATCTTTCTCAGAAGACGGAAGGGTAAGAACCATGCCCTACACTCTCCATTGAACCTGGCATAGTGGTAAGGCATATAGGAGAGATTCGATAAAGAGTGATGCTGGATAGGCTCACCTACATCGGGCCATGTGAGAACGTGGCCTTGGCTGGCTTCTGAAGATCGTTCCCCAAAAAAGACTCACCTGGAAAAGCTGGAAGGCATATTCTTGGTCCATTTTCATGTTCATCAGGTGCAGTAAACGCTGGACTTCCTGGAAACTCATCCGGCCATCCTGGTTCTTATCTCCACGCTGGAACCAGTCACTCAGCCATCCAGGTTGGAGTCAAGGCCAAAGCACTGTGTGTGTTTGTGTATGCAGATGTGTGTGCCTGTTCATCAACTGACATTGTCTCCCCTAGCTTTGCTACAAGTGTCTCCTCCATGCCAGTGCATTTTCCATATTAGCTTCCAGAATAATCTTGTCCCTACATGGCTCAGATGCCTTCAGGGTTCTTCCTATTGCCTACAGAAAGAAGCCCAAACTTTTAAACCTAGATTGAAGGTCTTCATCCCCACGATCTGGCCCCCCCACAGCCTTCCTCAACACACTTCTGTTTTCCCCGTACTTTAGCCAGACTCTCCCTCCTGCTCTTCAATGTCCTCCCTCCTGTTCTTTGATGTCTCTGAGCCTTTCCTCATGCCATTCCCTCAGGCAGGAGAGCCTTCTTCCCTCCTTTCTTTATGTTCATGTTCTACTCCTTTTCAAGGCTCAGCTCACATGCAACTTCCTCCCTGACGTTTTCCCAGAACTCTCTCAGCTAGAATTAAATGTTTTTCCTTCCTTTGAATACCCTCAAATAATTTCAGTCCAATGGAAGTTCACTTCCAGGGTACTTAGATGTTTTACACAAATCCCTTTTCTCCACTGACTAAAACAATGCCTGAGTCTCATTCATCTTTTCATTCATTCATCCCAATAGCCTGGCACAGTGCCTGATACCTTCTGCTTCATAGACAGTGAATGAATGAATGAATCAACAAAAAAATGAATGAAAGACATAGCATGGAAGGTGAATACAATCTAGGAAGCCTGAATGAGTCAACACTATCAAGTTCTGCTTCCTAGTTCTGGCGTAGTTCATGCCACTGGGAACTTCTGCTCAGCTCTCAAGATCAGCACCTTGTTGGGTCCTTTGCCTCTCACGTCCCTTCCACCCATCCCGAAAGGCCGGATTTCTGCCCACCCTCTGCCTGGTTATGCCTTTGGCATCCCAAGCCTCCATTACGCCTTTGATGTCCTCTGCCTCACAGTGGCCTGAGGTGCCCTTGCCCACCCCATCCAGACTTTTAGCCACTCCCCGCCCAGTACAGTGCACCCCCGCCTGTCTCTAGCCTTGTGGCATCTGACTCTTTCAGTGACCTCTAGCTCCCCACTCTGACTCCATCCTGCCGATACTGGTCCAGCCGCTCCTGTTGGTCCATGCCGGTGACAAAGTCAACCAGAAGCTGCAGTCCCTGCATCCATATCTTGGCCTCCTCGGCGCTGTTGGCCACCAGGTCCAGGTTGGAGCGGCGGCCATGGAAGACGATGGTGAAGCCCTGCTCCAGGGGGAGCTCCTCCGCCAGGCTGCGCAGCAGCTCGGACTCCTGGCCCTCCCGCACGCTCTCCACATCAGAAATCGAGACTGCCAGGGAGGAAACGGGGGACACGGGGGACAAGAGTCTGCCAAATTGCAGGGGCGAAGGGTCGAAGGAACCCCAACCTCCACAGGATGAAACCCCTAAAGACAGAGTACAGGGAGAGGCAGATCTCTGGGATTCAGGATTCCCTGTGAGTCACTGCCATGTTCAGAGGCAGCCTGGCAAGGGGCCTGCGCTGGGAGTGCAAGACCTGACTTCAGGACGCTGGCTGGCAGTGTGACACAGACCAAAATGACTTAACCCCTCAGCACCCTCATCTGAAATAAGGGATGATCCCATCTATGGCCAGTCCACCTGGTGACCCCTGGTGTGGCTGATGGATGGAAACACACTTAAAGGTAGAAGCGGTTACACCAAAGCATGGTATGTCCAAGTTCAATGTCCCCATTCCAGGCTTGAAGACCTCCTCTTTCCAGATGTCTAGGAAAGAGCCAGAGAAATTATTCCACCCCCTTTCCTCAGCTGGGGGTGGTGGGGCTCGTGAGCTTTGATTGTATCTCTAAAGCGGACTCTCTCAGATGCATCCTGTGATCACATTTTTAGAGGGGGCATAAAGCATTTGGCCAAGAGGATACACATGACTGTGCTGCATTTATAATACTTAAAAATATTCACCATAGGGGCGCCTGGGTGACTCACTCAGTTAAGCATCTTCCTTTGGCTCAGGTCATGATCTCGGGGTCCTGGGATCGAGCCCAGGAGCCCACCTTGGGTTCCCTGCTCCAAGGGGAGCCTGCTTCTCCCTCTCCTTCTGCCTGCTGCTCCCCTACTTGTGCTCTCTCAAATAAATAAATAAAATCTTTAAAAAATAATATTCATCATAATGGCTAATTTGTGAAAGTCATCCTGGCTTCAGGTGACACGTTAGGCACTTTGTACATTAACTTGCCGAGTACTTGTAACCTTCTAGGCAGGAACCGTTCAGTCCTCATTTTGCAGATGAGGAAACCAAAGCTTAATGCAACTTGTCCAAAGCCACTCAGCTAGAAAGTGGCCGAGCCAGAGCTTTGATCCGGGCCGTCTGATGCATGAGGTCATGCTCTCACTATAATGATAATAAAACAGAACCTAGGACTTACTGAGCCTTATTATGAGCCAGAACCCTCCTAAGCCTTTTATGTGCAATAATGGATTGAATTTTCATAAATAGCTTTAAGAGGCAAGTACTATTGTAATTCCCACTCTATAGTCTCAGAGGTAGATGTAAGAGGGACAGCATGAGGACACAGCATAGGACCCTCGTCCCTCCCCTGTTCTCAAGCCGCTGGACTCTTTAGGGTCCGATCCCCACCTGCCCCCCACCCCCTGCCACCATGTCTGTGCCTAGCTATCCACATGACTCACAGGTGGGCTTGGCAGTGCCTCCCGCCTGCCTGGCGTGCCAGACCGTCATGCCGTCATCCTGAAGTCTGAAGTATCTTAGCTTCTTCCAGCCTTTGGACCTCACCTTGCGCATCAGCGTGCCTTTCTGCATCAGCAGCAAATCTTCACTGATGGGCAGCCCTGGGCCAGGAGAAGAAGGGGCTGGCTGGGCAGCCGGTGGGAAGGGTGGAGGGCCCAGGAGGCGTTCTTGACCAGGGGTCCAGACTCCTCCCGGCCTCCCCATCCCTGGGCGGTCTCCTGAAAGCCTTCCCCCTCCCCGGGGTACTCACGGCCTTGCATCAGAGACGCCATCACCCACTGCTCCACCAGCTGGTGCCAGAGTCACCTGGAGGAGCAAGGAGGAATGAAGGGTTCTGGGTTCATACTGGGGATCTTAGAATAAGAGATTAAAGGAGGAAGAGAAGGAAACCTGAGAATTCTGACGGCGCATGAGGAGCCAGGAGCTTCACCCACCTACTCTTCTTTTTAAAAAATATTTTATTTATTTATTTGACAGAGAGAGAGAAAGAGAACACAAGCAGGGGGAAAAGCAGAGGGAGAGGGAGAAGCAGACTTCCCAATGAGCAGGGAGCCAGAAGCGGGGCTCGATCCCAGGACCCTGGGATCATGACCTGAGCTAAAGGCAGACGCTTAATCCACTGAGCCACGCAGACACCACCATCCACATAGTCTTTAGCTCTTTTGTACGTCTAGTTTGAATCTGATGACTTTGAGGCTTAGAGGGGTTACAAAACTTGCATCAGATCACATAAGGATTCAGAATTTAAAGCCAAATGTCTGATCCCACAGAGTCTGCTCTTTTCCATAGTCATCTCCACAGAGGGTTGTAGCAGGGCTTTTTGCCCAAAACCCCAGAGTCACCCCTCAGCTCCTGATTATTAGGGACCACCATCTTGCTGGCTGCGCCCTTTCAGAACCTAGCGTTCTCTTCTCCACGGGGCTCACCCCAGCTGCTGTATCTCGGGAGCCCTCTCCCTGGTCCCATGCAGACCCCCCCACCCCCGGCACCAGAGGGGCCAAGGCAGAGTGCTGCTTTTGCCTCTAAAGTGATCCCTTGTGCCATACTTGCCACACAAGCCACCTTCTTTTGCCTTCCCACAGTAAGGCACACTTTACACGCCTTAGCCTAGCAGTTGTTCCCAACAGCTTAATGGACCAGGTGAGCTACATAGTCTTAGAAATGCAGTTTCAAGTTTTCTCTGCCTCCTGAAGAACAGAGCCCTCATTAAGACACATGCTCATTTAGGACCTGGTTAAGTCGCCCTAGTAGGTAACAACAAACTGCTTTCGAAAGGGCAAAAGAGGGGACACCTGGGTGGTTCCGTTGGTTAAACGTCTGCCTTCACCTCGGGTCATGATCCTGGAGTCCTAGGATCGACCCCTGCGTTGGGCTCCTTGCTCAGTGGGGTGCCTGCTTCTCCCTCTCCCTCTCCCCTCCCCCAGCTTGTGCACACACACTCTCTCTCTCACTCACTCATAAATTAATTAGTTAATTAATTAATCTTTTAAAAAGAGCCAGAAAACTCGATATGTAGCCACATTGATTCGAGCTGTGCCCTCTAGGAAATCATCAACTCTTGACCAAATCATTCTGGACAAAGCAAAGCGCAAGAAACATAAAGCTCTATGCTTTGCATAAGCAGAGGGACGGCACTCGGATAGAGATGCTGCGTTTTTTAAGGGATAAGTTTACATTTTGACAACGGTGAGCATCTAAAACACGAAAAGCATTTCTAAAGTCATCATTCAGTTGGTACTCTCTCAGAACACGGTGTGGCTCCACTCGCTGGGTCTCACAGATGAAAAGCGGGAAGTCCAGAAATGTGGTGTGACTTGTCTGGGGTCACACAGCATCTCAGGGCTCCCCCGCCTCTCTTTAGCTGGAAGAGCCTATCAAGTCACCCAGGGGTGGTTAAATCTTTAGGAAGAAAGTAGAGGTCACTAAAAATACAGGTCCTCTGGCTGGAGGACCTAGAGAAGGCTTTCAAAGGAGTAACAAATACACAGGTGTCCAGAGGGAGAAGGGAAGGTTGGGAGCCCATCTGTACCTAAGTGGGAGAGATAACTCAAGGCAGCCCTCAGGAGAGACAGAACCCTGCGACAGTTCCAAAAAGCCAAGGCTTTGCTGGCTGAGGCTGAATATAGTGAGCCTGGGTGAGACCAGAAGAAGCCTCTGGACGGATGAAGGGACCCAGAGTGCTTCATGAGAGGCAGAAACGCAGCCCCCTTTTCGGGCTGGTGATGTAGCTTGGCGGCCAAAGCTCGCAAAAACTGGATGAGGACAGAACTAACAGGTCTCTCCTAAGTGTCTCAGGTCCCCAGACTCCAGAGGAAGGGGGGAGCCTGGGATTCTGGTCCCTCTTGCCAACAACCTGCTTTATCTCCTCTTTGAATTTCAGCTCCCATATCTGGGGCATAGGGACCGTGGGATGGAATGGATCTCGGCCCTGGGAGAAGACAGAATTCCCTTCCCCTATACCTGGACCCAGGAACCTCACAATTGTGTCCTGAAACATGGGACGCCTCTGCTCAAAGTGCCAGGACACCCCTATTTTGGAGCCTATCTCCTCTCAAACAAGCCTTGGAAAATTATTTTATCCTTGCCAAACTCTTCCAACCCCAGGGCTAAGCACGTGCTCTTCCAATCCTCCTCCCATTCCTGACTCACTATTGCAAACCTAGATCCAGGTGACTTGTGGCCATATGATGGCCAATTTCAACTCAGGGAGCCACAGAATGTCAGACTTGGACTTCGTTTTATACAGAAGGGCTAGAAAGATTAGCTGAAGTGCCAGAGCCATTGAAGGAATTACGTGATAGAAGTGGGACCAGAACCATGGTTCCTTGTGACTAGCTCAGTGATCTCAGCATGGCCCTGCCCTTAGAAAGGGTTTTTTCTAGGAGGCCCTGGGTGGCTCAGTCCATTGCATGCCCAACTCTTGGTTTCGGCTCAGGTCATGATCTCATGCTTGTGGGATCGAGCCCTACATCAAGCTCCAGGCTCAGCACAGAGTCTGCTTGATATCCTATCTCTCCCTCTTCCTTTGCCCCTCCTCCTGCTCTATCTAAAATAAATGAATAAACTTGAAAAAAAAAAAAAAAGGAAAATCCTTTCTTTCCAAAGGAAAACTTAGAAAGCCAGTTCGAGCAGGGCTAAGAACCAACAAGGGACATGGATAATTTGTCTCCCTGACTCTGTCATTCTCAGCCCCCACCATGTCCCACTTGATAGCTTTTCTTTTCTCTCTTCCCATTTCTCTCCTTTCCCCATCCTGGTGCCTTTCTTTTCCTTTCTCCCAGCTCACTCTTCTCTCCTGATCCCATCTGCCCCCTACTTGCTCACTTGTCAGCCTCTCTGTGCTCTCCTCTCTTTATCCTTCTCCCCACTCCTCCTTCCCTCACCTCTTCCTCTTTTTCTTTCTCCTCTAATTCCCAATACGTCAGGTTCTCATCCTCTGTGGGGATTCTGAGCCTAAGATCCAGGAGGGAGAAGGACCCACAGGAGCACACCCCTGCCCTGAGCCTCACTTCCCCTGTATCCTAGGAGACGGAATGAACACACTGTCCAGAGAATGCGACTTAGAACCCAGGTGTTCTAGGTCATGGTGTTGCCTCTGGTGTCTGAAGGTAGGATGGGAAGGATGGTGATGCAGGTGCAGTGGGGGAGAGAAGGAACAAAGGACTGGGAGTGGGAGCAAGAGCAAGAGATGAGGGGCAGAGGATGAAGACTGAGAGTATGAGATTGGGTCTTAACTGTTCACTCCTAGACGCGAATGTGGAGATCCTCAAGGACACAGATGATGACCTCTATAATACACATGAGAGAAAAGACACAAAGTAAGGTGGGAAGTGGCCGGGGCTGCCCAGTAAGATTTGGTCCTCAACTTACAGGTGGCTGTAAGAGATGGACCTTGGCAGAGTTGCCAATAGTGCCAATGACATTATGGTGAAATTCGGGGTGTCTCAGGGTTCTCTGAAGGGGCAGGAAGGAAGAGAATCATTATGTCTACTCTCTTGCTTCTGAGCAGGATTATTGTGACCTCATCCGTATAAAGAAGACAGAAGGGCTCCGGTCATAGGTAACCTTCAGAAGGTTAAAGCTTGAAGACTCTTGTTTTCATAACTCATCTAATCCAGAAGTTCCTGGCTATATTGAAATCCTAGGTCAAATAGAGATTCCTTAGTCTCACCCAAAATCTACCGGATCAGAATTTGCCAGGAGGGAGCTCAGGAATATTTATTTTAAAAAAGAACCCCTGGGGTGCCTGGGTGGCTCAGTGGGTTAAAGCCTCTGCGTTCTGCTCAGGTCATGATCACAGGGTCCTGGGATCGAGCCCCGCATCTGGCTCTCTGCTTAGCAGGGAGCCTGCTTCCCCACCTCTCCACCCCCCCGCCTGCCTCTCCGCCTACTTGTGATCTCTGTCTGTCAAATAAATAAGTAAAATCTTAAAAAAAAAAAAAAAGCCCCTATGACACACGCAAGTCTGGGAAACCATAAATTCCTATCACAGATCAGGAAGCTGCTGTCCAAAGTCACATAGCTGGTTAGTGTGGCAGAATCAGGACTAGAAGCAGGTGCTTTTCCCAGCACAGCCCTTGGCCATGCCAACCAACTGTCCCGGTCCATGGAGCAGGCTAAGAACAAGTAGGGAGCTCAAACCCCAGCTCTGTCTAAGGAAATCTCTATCATCTCCCCTGGGTCTTCAGGAATCCTCAACATTCTGTTAATGTTGTATCCTTACTCCAATCTCTATCTTCCCTTACTAGGATGGGGCTCGCTTCTGAGCGGTAGCTAAGAGGTCCCTGTGTAAGGGGCGACTGCCACAGTCAGGAGGAAACTGTAAATCAGAGGGCTAGGGAGAACCAAACCGTGGGAGCCTTGCAGACATGTTAGGGCTAAGGAGTCCAGGGTACAATTTAATCAGGGCGGGGATAAGCATGTGGCAGACAGAGTTAGGGACTCAGGCAGGGCAGAGTTTGGAGCAGAGGCTGGTCAGAGCCTCCGGGGCCCTTACCGTGGGCAGGAGAGTGGTCCTGTGTCTGTGAGCTGTGCGATGCTCTCTCCTGTGGGACGAGGAAACCCAGCTGGGCTCTCTCTCTCCTCTCTCGCTGGCTCGCTGGCTTCCTCCCCTTTTCTACCGCAGTTTGCTGCTGTGACTGGCGGACTTGCAGCCAAAGGGAAGGAGTAGGGAGGGGAGAGGTATGAGCTCTCGCCTCAGTCCAGCCCTTCCAACTCTTAAAGGCCCAGGACACTGGTCAATGGGAGGGAGTACTGGGGGAGGGGTGGGCAGACAAGGATTAAAGGAGGAGAAGCCAGGCTGCCCTTCGTCTTGATGCCAGCCCTCATTGACCCCAATCCTATAGTAGCTCTCAGAGTGAAGCCAGAGGAGTGTCTGAGTTGCAGTGCTCCATGAATCACTGCTTTTCATTCTGCACGGGTTCTCCCTGCATGTCACACAGCTGTCTTTGCCCTTATTTCATCTGGCTCCTTTCCAGGGTGTCTGTTCCACCGGCCAGCTTCTGTGTCTCCGCATCCTGCCTTGCAGAGAACTCGGTCTAGCTCTGTGGTACAGGGGAAGGAAAAAAGAAATAGGACGGGGAAGGAGGCACCTGAGGAGAAAGGGAGGAGAAGAATCCTAGAGGGTAGAGGGACAGGTTAGTATCTCCGTATACTTTGGGCATTTGCTAAATATTGAAGGAATACATACATTCGTGCATGAAACAATTCATTCAGTCTTTCTTTACATGGATGCATTCTAGGAACGTTTGTTCAGCACCTCCAGTGTGCAAGGACGTGTGTATGTCTTCATAAAGATGTGTGTAGAGAGGACGTGGACCTGTGGTATTGTAAGAATCAAGGGCAAAAAGTGGGGCACAAGATTGGAAAGACACCCAGGGGGAAAGAAAGGTGATGAGCTTCTTGCAAGGTGAATGAGCAGGTGGCTGAAACAGAAACCAAGATTGAGGACAGGGGAGCAAGTTAGGAGAGGACTATAGGGGATCATAAAAGGCTTCATTATGGCCCCGTACTATACACTGAGACCAAGACCCAGGGAAGTCTTGGCAACGTCCTGGGCTCACATGTCAGCAGCAGAGACGAATAGTCCCTGGCCCTCTCCCAAGCATTGAGCTGGGACCTACTTTTGCTGTGCCTTGGAAAGACTGTGGGGTATGGAGCTTTCTGGCCCAGTGGATGGGAGTCAGGCAGCTGAGCGCATGGGGCACAGCCCTGTACTTGGACTTCTGTGCCTCCTTTCCAGTGAGGTGTGTTTTAATCTAGGCATAGAGGGAACTAACTGTACAAAATGATGTGATTTTTAAGTGTGCTGAGATCTGGCTACCACTCCGGGCTCCCCCAAACACCCTTTGAGTGCCTAATATTTGACCATTAGTGATTATTTATAGCTAAACCTTTAGTCCCATTAAAATAAAATCCTCCTAAGTGATTACCATAAATGTCAGGATTGTGGTTACTTCTGGGAGGAGGGAGAGTTGTGATAGGATTGGGCACATAGCTGGCTTCTGGAATAGCTGGCTAAATTCTAATTTCTAGTCCCGGATGCTAACGAGGGTCTTCCCTCTGTAACTTATTCAGTTATACATTTTCCTTTCTTTTTTAAAAGTAACTTTTAAAATGATTTTATTTATTTATTTACTTAGCGCACAGGAGGAGGGGGAGGGGCAGAAGGAGAGGGAAAGAGAAACTCAAGCAGACACCATGCTCAGTGTGGAGCCCAATGCGGGGTTCAATCTCGTGACCCTGAGATCATGATCCTGGCTGAAATCAAGAATTGATGGCCCTGGGGTGCCTGGGTGGCTCAGTGGGTTAAAACCTCTGCCTTCAGCTCAGGTCATGGTCCCAGGATCCTGGGATTGAGCCCCACATGGGGCTCTCTGCTCAGCGGGGAGCCTGCTTCCTCTTCTCTGTCTCTGCCTGCCTCTCTGCCTACTTGTGATCTCTATCTGTCAAATAAATGAATGAAAATCTTAAAAAAAAAAAAAAAAAGAAGAATTGACGGCCCAACCAACAGAGCCACCAGGTGCTCCAGTTGTTTTTTGTTTGTTTGTTTGTTTTTAAAGTCATCTCTTCACCCAACATGGGGCTCGAACTTGCATCCCTGAGGTCAAGAATCGCACGCTCCACCAACTGAGCCAGCCAGGTACCCCTAACTATACATTTTACGTATTGTTCTGTATCTGTGTTATATTTTACAAGAGGGTTTCTGATTTTTGCAACTGGTACTTTCTGAAGTTTTATTGGTTTTCCACAATTCACTGGTTGAGTTTCCATATTTTCCTGAGAGCAGAGTTTTTTGTTTGGGACTGTTTTTTAAAGTTTATTTACTTACTTAAGTAATCTCACTACCCAGTATGGTGCTTGAACTTGAAACCCTGAGATCAAGAGTTCCATGCTCTTTTGACTGAGCCAGCCAGGTGCCTGAGAGCGGGTTTTGATAAAGGAAGTAGAGTATGCAGGGAGGGGAGGCTGAAGAGGGAAGGCCCTTCACAGGGAATAGAAAGATTAGGGGGCATCAAAATTTAAATTGCGCTGCCTTCACGTTTTATTTACTAGAGCCCGTCTTCCTCTCCCATTTCTCCTCCCCTAACATCATCATGTCCTTAGTTTTCCATGCTTCTCCCTCACATTGCTCATATCTTCTACACTCCGGGATTATATGTATGTTTTGCCTCTATTTGCCTCACCTAATTGCTGCCTAACTTCCTTCCCTTCTGGGGGTTCGGTGAGGAATTTTCATTCTTCCTGGATTTTCTGGGAGAGTTCAGATCTTAAATATTCCTTTTCAGTGTTCTCATAAACAGACCCATCCTCCTCAGATCATGCGTTCTGATTTTGGGGGGCAGGCACTTGGGAGACCTTTACAAGGTTAGAATGGCTCCAAAGAGTGGCTGACGTGCCCGCTGCAGGGTGATCTTTAGATTTAGCGGGGGGAGCAGACAGACAGGGTCGGAGTGGGGGGGCTGGTACCGAACAGTCCATGTGGTTTGGTTGTTCCTATTTCCATAATGATCCTGGCCCTTCCCCCGCTGTTGTCTATTATTAACAGACCCAGAAACTTGATCAGGGCAGCAGCAGCAGAGGGATTTTCTGGGAACCATGCCCAGGAAAGGCCCAGAAGCCCTAAATTGAAATGATGGGGCAGCTGGCAAAGAGGGAGACCTAAACACTGTCCTCTCCGGCTGCCACGCAGACAAACCTGGACTCCCCTCCTCATACACAGGGAGATGCCCTAAACATCTTGCTTCTCAGGACGAGAGTCAGAGACCAATTCCCCAGTCTAAGCAGCCAAGCCAGTCAAACTTAAATAAAGACCATCTTCTTCGTGGTCAAAAATGCAGTTCAAAATATTAAGTTCCACTTAAAAAATCATCAATATGATACCATTTGTGGAATTAAAAGCCAGGATGCATAACTTCAAAGGACCAGAGAATATATAGCCATTCCTCAATTCTGACATTAAAAATAGAAAACTTAAGGTGAAGGGGAACAAAGAGGTATTAAATCAGAGTAAGATGATGGAATTAGAATAAAAAATACAAACGGTATCATATTGCACAGAGACGAAACCTTCAGAAAAGACTAGGAAACGAAATACAGGTATGTGCTATTTGTAAGACGCATGTCTACAAAAAGTTGTTAAAAAAATAAACTGCTGCATAAATCTTAACAACAAAAAAGGCTGAAAGTTAAAGGAACACATCTGGGAATGGAGACTTCACTTTCGTCCTTAGTTAAGATTGCCTTGGCTATTTGGCACTTCGCATTTCCATACAGATTTTAGAATCCGCTTATCAATTTCATAGAAATAACCTGCTGGGATTTTACTTAGAACTGAGTTTAATCAGAAGATCAATCACTGGCATCCTTACAATATTGTTTTCTAATCCATGGAGAAGATACATCCTTCCATTCATTTATGTAGGTGTTTCTTTCAAGAGTGTTTTGTTGTTTTCAATGTAAAAGTTCTGCACATCTTTCAATGTATCTATTTTGAGTTATTTGATTTCTTATGCTATTTTAAAAAATATTTTATTTATTTATTTGACAGAGATCACAAGTAGGCACAGAGGCAGGCAGAGAGAGAGAGAGAGAGAGGAAGGGAAGCAGGCTGCCGCTGAGCAGAGAGCCCGATTCGGGATTCGATTCCGGGAACCCTGGGATCATGACCTGAGCCAAAGGCAGAGGCTTTAACCCACTGAGCCACCCAGGCGCCCCTTGTTTTTTTTTCCCAAGTAATCTCTACATCCAACATGGGGCTCAAACTCACCACCCTGAGATCAAAGCCACACACTCTTCCAAAAAGAGCTAGGCAGACTCCCTGCTTTATTTTTGAAATTCCTTGTTATTTAGAAACACGTTTTTGTTTTTTTTTTTTTGCATATTGACTTTGTATTCTGGGACTTTGCCAAATTCCTTTCATTCTAAGAGTTTGCAGATTCTTCTGGATTATGAGTGTACATAGTCATGTTGTCAGCAAATTTTTTTTACCTTCATGATCCTTGTATTTTCTTGGTTTATCACACAGGCTTGAACCAGTATGATACCTGAAGGTGTGGCAGTGGGTATCTTTGGCTCAATCCTCATTTCAAGGAGGAGGGCTTTGTATTTTTTTTGGAAGTTTCCTATAGCATTTTTGTTGATACCTTTTGTTAGATTTAAGGATGTGCCCTCCTAATTCCGGTTTTCTAAAGTTTTTTCTTTTAATCATGAATAGGTATTGAATTTTGTAGTGTTCTTTTGTGTATCTGCCTAGATAATTATGATTTCTCTCCTTACTAATATTTGTTGATTGTTAATTACATTGATTATTTTTCACATATTGAATCAACCCTGGTTTTTTTTCAGTAAACCCAGATTAGGTATGGTGTATTATCTTTTTTTTTTTCCCTCCTAGATCGGATTTGCCTATTTTTTCCAGGAATTTTACATCTACATTCACAAGAGAGTTCAACCCCTGGTTTTCCTGTGATACCCTTGCTGGGTTTTGGTGGCCTCAAAAGTGAATGGGGACCTGTGCCCTTATTCTAGTCTCTGAATTTCATGGAAGATTAGTGAGTGTAAGATATGAGTGATGTCCCTTTTTCCAAAATGTTTTTGGTCTGATCTAAAGGTCTACTAAGGTTTTATCAATTTTATTGATGTTTTCAAGGTAATGACTTCCCATTTCATTGATTTTTCTTTCTTGGAGATTTGTTTTCTATTTCACTGGCTTTTGCTTTTTTTGTATTTTCTTATTTTTTGAATTTGTTATCCTGTTTCTTGACATAAAAACTTAGATCACTGACTTCAGTCTTTCTTTTATAACATGTGAATTAAAGCCATATTCAGTATTACTTTACTTGTATGCCACAGGTTTTGATATGGTGTATCTTATCAATTTTTTTTCTAACTTTGTGATTTCTCCTGTGACCCATGGGTTATTTAGAACTGTAAATAAACTGCCGGTTTATTTTTTTTAAAGATTTTATTTATTTATTTGACAGACAGAGATCACAAGGAGGCAGAGAGGCAGGCAGAGAGAGAGGGAGAAGCAGGCTCCCCGCTGAGCAGAAAGCCCGATGCGGGGCTCAATCCCAGGACCCTGGGATCATGACCTGAGCCGAAGGCAGAGGCTTTAACCCATTGAGCCACCCAGGCACCCCTGCCTGTTTATTTTTAAAGTTAGTTTTCCAGTTCTCTTTTTCGTGACCTAATCCCGTGTTCACAGAACATTAATTCTTAAAAATTTTCTGAGGCCTGATGGCCCACTGTGACCAATTTTAGTAAATGCTTCTGGCCTGAAGACAGTATGCACACTGTTGGCTTAGAGTACAGTGTTCTGTTTATCGATTAAGTTAGGCTTGTTACTTGTGTTGCTCAACTCATCTGTTATATTAGCTTTTGAAACAAATGCTTTAAAATAATTTTTAAAAAAATTAAATTTCACAGCATTTAGGAATTTCATTTCATTGTATGCTTTTCTATTCCTTGGGTTTTTGACAGCAATACCTTTGTATATATTCCCCCCCACCCCCATCTCAGCCTTTGAGCGGCAGGAGTAGTGAGCAAAGGAATGCTATGTAGACCGGAAGGCAGGCAGGCTCTAAAGGCTACCAGTGCCTCTCCATGCCCTGTTCCACCACTCAGTCATGGGCCCTCCAATGCCTTGGAAAAAAGCTGGAAGCAGAGGTTAGCTCTGTCCTGCTGAGTGCCCGAAGCAGGCATGGAAACTCTGGGGATGTGTGCTAAGTCTTGAAACTAGGGAGGAAAAGTATATTAAAGTCTGTGATAACATGTTTCCAGTGCTACCTCTTCACTTCAGGTCTCTCCCGTACCATACTAAACTCTGGCCATGACAGCGAGGAGTGAGGTTCTGTTTCAGCAAACAGAACCAGATAAAGGGTACCGCCCCAGCCTCCCCAACAGCTTTCATCTGGCAGCAGGGCTCTTCCCAAAGGACCCAGCCACAGGGGAACCATCTCTGCCCTCTTGGCAGAACAGTGTGTTTGTGTCGAACAGATGGCAGAGGCAGGGGGACCAGGATCATGTGACCAGAGTGCCTAGAAGTCTCTATATTGACAAAATCAAAATCAAGTCTTCAGTTTAAAGGAAAAATTATTTTTATAAAAACAGAAACAGGTTTTATTTCAATCCTGTTAGGGAGTGAGAGGGATGGAAAACAAAAAAAAAAAAAAAAAAAAAAGAAGAAGGGAGGGGTCTCTTTATACACACATGACATCAGGATCAACTACAAGGAATAATACCCATTTTCATCCCTCCCCCAACTCCTAGGTGGGGTCCAAGGCCAGCTGAGAATAGATGGAACAGGAGTTAAGACACTATTGGCACAGTAACATGGCCAATGCACCAGAAGATGGAGCGAGAAGAGAATTTCCCAGGGAGCAAGGCCCTGGGCCTCAGCGGCTTCCCCAGTAAAGGGGGAATGAGAAAACTTTGGCTCAGCAGGAAGGCAGTTGGCAAAAATCAGAGATCCCTCGGCTGGCCTCTCCAGCTCACGAAACTATGGGCTGAGGGAAGTCCAGACGTCTGTCCAGTCCATGCTGTTCTCTGCTTCCTCTACGACCTCTTCTCTTCAGGCTTGAGACTGAGAGCTCACCTGGTTCTCCTCTTCATTTTGGAAGGCAGGGGAGTAAGTGCTTCTTCTACCCTTCCTACATCTAGGCTACTCAATTACTACTTTGTCGGCTCTAGAGACAGAAGCCAACTAACAAGGCCGGCTCCCCTTGTGAAAGTCGGCTTGAAGAGCCCTTGGGTTGGCCCAACTGCCTCCACAGAGGTTTCTCGGAGCTTGCTCCTTACAGACGGACCCTCCCCAAACTTGTTCGGAGATACCTTCACTGGGGAGATGTGGACAGAAAATACCTCGTCTCTCTCTAGAGTTGGATTAATAATCCCATCTTTGACTGGAGGTGGGGATGAGAGAGAGAGAGCAGGTGTTGGCAGAGGGAAGGACTGCGGGAAAGCAAGGCAGTTTACACTGCATTACAGATTCAAGTCTCTGGATTGTGAAGTCATCTGGAGCTCCAAAGAAGGAAGGGGGTTTCGCTGACTCAATATGAACTAGTGGAAGTACTTTAGTGGCAACCCTGTAATTCCCATAGACCAATAGGGAATGTGTTGGGGGAAAAAAAAAAAAAAAAAAGACAGTGAAGAAGCAGAGTTCCGCCCTCTGTCTTAAATCTGAGTAAGATGAACTCATTCAGCTAATACCACTTCAAGTACAATCATGAACACAGATGGAGCTGCAGAAATTCATACTAAAGAATGGGATCAAGCAGCTGTCATCTTGGTCCCCAGGCATCTTCCCCTTTAAAAGTTACCCAGGAAACCTCTCTGAGGACTGGAATTGAAGGTGAGGCCCAAGCCACCTCGCCTCCCCCAGTACAATACCCTTCCAGGACAGCCTGATGAATTAAGACATCTGTTGGAAGTTTAATAGGAGGGATGTGGAAAAGGGAAAAGCACTGAGATTTGGAAAAGCTAGCAGCTAGAGCCAGAAACAAGGTTAGGGTCCTTGTGGCGTCTGGAACTGGGGGCAGAAGGACGGAAAGGGAAGGGAAAGAGGCGATGGGGTCCTGCTGTCCTTTGGCTTTATCCTTTCCTTGCCTCCCGTTCCTCCCCACAGTTCACGCAGCTGTTGGCCTGCTAGAGGGGATGTAATGCCCAGACCAATTTTTTATTAAGCTTATGCAGCTAACAGACTTGTAAACAGTGCCAAATGACAAAGTTCTGCTGAGTATTACAGCTCGTGTCCACTAAACACACCTCTCTCTGACATCAAAAACAAGAGACCAAAGTAAACAAATACTGAGAGAGAGGATGAAGAGACACGTCTTGAGTCTTCCAGGAAGGCAAAATAGAAGACCACCACACGGCTTGGTCCCAGGCGTTCGGCATGCCTAGCGTGCTACCACCGCCACGTCCCCCTCCCCGCCAGTGGCTAGTACGGGTCGGGGAGAAGGGCCATCGCGGGCACGCTGCAGACACAGCATTTGCTGGTGTTGACACCCTCCTGGAGCTGTGGTGGCAGACTGCTGTGTCAGGAGCCCATCTCCTGGGAGTAGCGGAGGGAGCCCGGGTCCCGGAGGCAGCCCAAGATGGCAGCCCGTTCACCCCAGCGGGGTGACCTCGCCCTCTTCTCCAGTGCAGTTCAGCATTGAGGTTGTCTATTCCTGGTCAGCGGTAAAACCTGAGCTGTTTTCCTCGCGGGTTCCCCCTCCCTTCCCCAACTTGGGGGAGTGGTAGGAGGGGGTGGGGGAGGATCACTGAGGGGGCAGGGGGATGCCCCGGGGATCGGTGACCTGGCCCTCTTGCAGGTTCTTCACCAGTTGTGCAAGCCAGCGTTTCGTGGTGGTGTCATCTTTTAGCACCTGGGCGAAGGTCGTGTCCTTCAGCTGGTCAGGGAGGCACTGCCTGAGCGCTTCACGTGCCCTACATCAGAGACAAACAAGCCAACCAGGGAGACCAGCAAATAAACCCACATTTGGGGGACAGGGAAAAAGCCCTTTCTTAGATATAAATATACAGAATCCCGGGAATATGAGGTTCAGTCAAGTTATCTTAGGAATCCATTAAAATTCCTTATAACTTGTATTAGCAATGGGCTCAGATCTCCAGGGTTTGTCACCTGTGAACATTTTCAGGATGATGGCTCAATGTGGAATTCCAAGACACAGCAAAATGGAATGAAATGGTGCAACAGTTCAATTCACTGATTTATTCCATTAAATAATGTCAATATGCTCATGGTAAAAATCGATGGGTTATAATAAATGAAACAGTTCCAAAATCAGTACATGAATAGGGGAGATGACCCAACTCACAGTATGATAAATTAGTGAACTTTAATTCTAAATTAATATGATTTTGTGTCTTTCTAAAAACTGCCTCAGTTTCTTTTTCTCTTTCCTTTTTTAAAAAAGTAAGTTCTACGTCCAATGTGGGGCTCAAATGCATGATTCCGAAATCAAGAATCGCATGCTCTACTGACTGAGCCCACCAGACACCCCTGCTTCAGTTTTATAATTAAAATGCTTAATAAGAGATGAGATGTAAAAACAAATCTATGGTGGCAACACTATCAGATGAACTTTCAAATGTTTCACTTTCTTTAAAAGATGACCAGTGGAAAGTAAAATCTAAAACCTCCAAAAGATAAATGCTAATGGTTTATAAAACTGTTTTAAATAGTTATAGCTTTTGTACTCAGACTAGTTTAAAGAAACATATTTTCAAACTGAAGAAAACAGGAACCACTGAAGAACAGGAAAAAATGATGAAGAAACAGCTCGGGCTTGAATAACCTCAGGGGCAGAAGGCTGAGCTCACATTAAATCGAGTTATCCCCACTCCTAGGAACACAGAAATTGCCCCATTATGTGGTTTAGCAGAACCTAAGCAAGTGGCTTTCAGCATGAATTATGGATTTACAAAGCAAAAGGTCAAACACTTCTAAAATGCACTGTATCTACAATGTATGATTTCTGACAGAAAGATTATGAACATAGGGAGATAAAATAATTAGCTCAACGACTTTACAGGAATCAAAGAGAGAACTGAAAATATAATTCAAGTGCCCTCTGGGCTCTATTCCTTTCTTACGAGATCTTTGAAAATATACTTATCATCCTGACCACCTGGGGCAGCAACAGAGAGCTCAAACCACAGGAGTAATGTATCATAAGGTTCCCTGGGAACTGTCTGGACTCTCTGGAATTCCAAGGAGGGTACAGAGTGACAGAGAGAAAACTCTGATGGGTTTTTTTTAAAGTACGCTCTGTACCCAGCGTGGAGCTTGAACTTGCGACTCCGAGATCAAGAGTCACATGCTCTACTGGGCCAGCCAGGCATCCCCAAAACTCTGATGGATTTTTAAATTTAGCACTTCAGATTTTAAAAGGATTTAATCAAGTTCTGCCAGACTAATTATCGTTATATCCCTTCCCAACCCTAAAGATATAGGAGCTATGCCATGAGATGAGGCAACTATTCACCAGGGCATTTCCCCAAAGTCCTAGAAATCCTATAAATGTTTACCTGGGGTTATCTGAGAGTCGCAGGTAACACCTCACTACGTGCTTCAGCAGACGGGCAGAAGGCTCTTTGGAGAGCTGCAGGACCATCTTACCCTGTTTTCCCCCAGAAAGGGTTGGGGTAGGAAAAAACACACAGACACAAAATAATCCCAGTTGACATCAGAGATCAGATATTTTAAGAATCGTCACACAAGGTTCCAAGAAGCTGTTCAGTGTCGGCTGCAAAGGGACTAAGCTGTGTGATCACAAGTAACTTCAAGGGGGTTAGATGAAAGAACTCACCAGGATCATGGCAACGTGGGAGAAACGCTCGTATGTCTGACATATATATGCCAAACCTGTGTCATCTAAGAGGATTTTCTGGAGGATAAATGTGGCAACCTGGAGTAAAAACAAAAATTAAGGAGTCCAAAACGTTGCTCAGACTTGTCTTCCAATGGTCGATTCATTGTCCAGGAAGAATTGTGAAGCAGAAAATTAAGCAGAGACCCCAACCATATGTGTAATGCACAGTTTAAACAAAATTAATAATAAACACATTACCATAGTGAATATTTACTGTGTGCCAAGGTATTTCCTAAAGGTATAACATGCCTTTTTTTTTTTTTAAGATTTTATTTATTTATTTGACAAAGCACATCACAGCAGGGGGAGCAGTAGGCAGAGGGAAAGGGAGAAACAGGTTATTTGCTGAGCAGGGAGCCCAATGCAGGACTCGATCCCAGGACCCCAGGATCATGACCTGAGCGGAAGGCAGACACTTAACCAACTGAGCCACCCAGGTGCCCCTGCCTCATTTTCACAATAAACCTATGAGGTAGGTACCACTGTTACTCTCTTTTTACATAAAAGAGTAGGTTCTGGGTAATTATGAAATTCTTTAAAATGTAGATACTTTTTCAGTTACCAAACACTGTGTGCCAGGCATAAGCGCTAATTAATAACTTGTCAGGTTAAGGTCCCAAGTGACAAAACCTCTAAGTTGTAGAGTTGAGGTCCAAACCTCCTCTGAATACAGAGCTTTTTCTTTTTTTCCATGAACAAAGATAAGTTTAGAAATTCAGCTGTGCCTCATCTCTTCCAAATGAGGTAATCAGAGCTTTGCCTACTTTTTTTTTTTTTTTTTTTTTTGAAGTAGGCTCCATGCCCAGTATAGAGCCCAGTGCATCACCTGAACTCATGACTCGGAGATTGAGACCTGAGCTGGGATCAAGACGCTTAACTGATCGAGCCACCCAGGGGCTCCAGGCTTTTTCTACTCCTAAAAGATCTTTAAAAATTAAGATTTTGAAGCCTCCCTTCTAACACTATTCCAACAATAGTAAAGAATATCCGCAATTTTATCTGGCCTTTTCCAACGACGTGGATGGAACTAGAGGGTATTATACAAAGTGAAGTAAGTCAGAGAAAGACAATTATCGTATGATCTCACTGATAGGTGGAATTTGGGAAACAAGGCAGAGGATCACAGGGGAAGAGAGGAAAAATGGAAACAAGACAAAACCAGAGAGGGAGACAAACCATAGGACACTCTTTATCTCAGGAAACAAAAACTAAGGGTGGCTGGAGGGGAGAGGGTGGGAGGGATGGGGTGGCTGGGTGATGGGCACTGGGGAGGGTATGTGCTATTGTGAGTGCTGTGAATTATGTAAGACTGATGAATCACAGTCCTATACCTCTGAAACAAACATTACAGGTTGATTTTAAAAAATTACCTGTATACACACATAAGAATATCCTCAATTTAAATTCAAGTAACTCTTGCACAGAAGGGACTAAAAAATACTAGCTTAATTCAAGTTAAACAATTATTTTAATGACTCCCTTCCTTGGCTGCTCATCAGAACCAGCTGTGGCAACTGTTTTATTTTACTATTTTACTTGGGTATAAAATTGTGGTTGAGCTAAATAATGGCCCCCAGAGATATCCAGGTCCCAATAACCAAAGTCGGTGAATGCTACCTTCTACAGAAAAAGGGACTCTGAAAAAGTGATTAAGGATCTTGGGGACAGGGTTGCCTGGCTGGCTCAGTTGGAAGAGCACATGACTCTTGATCCCAGGGTTGTAAGTTTGAGTCCTATCTTCAGTGTAGAGATTAAAAAAAAAAAAAAAAAAGAAGGTCTCGGGGAGATGAATCATTCTCGATTATCCAGGAGGGCCTTAAACACAATTTCAAGTGTCCTTGTAAGAGGGAGGTGGAGGGAGATTTGATCACATAGGAGAAAGCGATATGACAGAGCACAAAGAGATCTGAACACGTTACACTGCTGGCTTTGAAGATGGAGGAGGAGAGCGTGAGCCAAAGAATGTAATTCTCGAAGCTGGAAAAAGCTAAGAAAGGGATGCTCTCCTAGAGGCTCCAGAAGGAATATTGCCCTACCAACACTCTGACTTTAGCTTGGTGAAACTGATTGATAATTTTTAAGTTGCAGAACTCTAAGAGAACAAATTTGTGTTGTTTTAACCACCAAGCGTGGGCATTTGTCATGGGAACGAGAGGAAATACACACAGTAAAATGTGTACAGTGCTTGAAGTGCACTATCTTCAGTGTATTATTTTTTTTAAAGATTTAATTTATTTATTTGACAGACAGAGATCACAAGTAGCCAGAGAGGCAGGCGGAGAGAGAGGAAGGGAAGCAGGCTTCCCTCTAAGCAGAGAGCCTGATGTGGGGCCCAATCCCAGAATCCTGGGATCATGACCTAAGCCGAAGGCAGAGGCTTTAACCCACTGAGCCACCCAGGCACCCCTCTTCAGTGTACCTTAATGCACATTTAGGAACCACAAGCAGATTAAAATACAAAAGATTTCCAGCACTCCAGGAGATTCCGTTGTGCCTTTTCTCAGTCAATACCCTTCCCTGAGAGGGTGCCATGGTGACTCAGTCAGTTAAGTGTCCAAATTTGGCTCAGGTCATGATCTCAGGGTCTTGGGATGGAGCCTCACATCAGGCTCTGCGCTGAATGGGGAGTCTGCTTTGCCCTCCCTCTCTGTCCCTTCTCCTGCTTGAGCATGTTCTCTCTCAAATAAATCTTAAACCAAACCAAAACAAAACAAAAAAAACCACCATAAACCCTTCCCTGAGAAGTAAACACTATTCAGATGGATCCTCACTGAGCGGTTTTGCCCATTCTTGACTTTCACTTAAATGGAATCATACAGTACGAATTCATGCATGTGGTGGCTGCTCTTGCTCAATATATAAGCATCAACTATCTCTGTGAGCATCCCCATGAGCACCAACTATCCTGCCTATATCAGTATTCTTCCTCATTACTGTGGAGTTGATTTTGTGGCTATACTACAATTTATCTTTTATGAATAATGCTGTTATAAACATTCTTCTACATACTGTGATGTACAAAGAACTCCTTTCTCTTGGCCATACACCCAAGAGTGGGACTGCTGGGCCACAGCATAGGATTATGCTGATGGTGGATACTGCCAGATGGTCTCCCAAAATGGTTATATCATACTCTCACCTGGGGGGGGGGAGTTTTTAAAAAACACCAATGTCCAGGGGCGCCTGGGTGCCTCAGTGGGTTAAGCCTCTGCCTACGGCTCAGGACAAGATCTCAGGGTCCTGGGATCGAGCCCCGCATCAGGCTCTCTGCTCAGCAGGGAGCCTGCTTCCCCTCTCTCTCTGCCTACTTGTGATTTCTATCAAATAAGTAATAAAATCTTAAAAAAAAAAAAACAAAACACACCAATGTCCAGATTTTATTACCATAGAGAATGACTCAGTAGGTCAGAGATGTGGGGCCTGGGCATGTCCGGTTTTAAAACCCTTCACTGGGGTGCCAGGGTGGCTTAGCCAGTTGAGTGTCGGACTCTTGATTTCAGCTCAGGTCATGATTTCAGGGTTGTGAGATCAAGTCCCGCGTTGAGCTCTGCACTGGGCATGGAGCCTGCTTAAGATTCTTTTTTTTAAGATTTTATTATTTGAGAGAATGAGAGAGAGAGAAAGAGCGAGCGAGTATGAGAAGGGGGAGGTCAGAGGGAGAGGCAGACTCTCTGCCAAGTAGGAAACCTGATGCGGGATTTGATCCCGGAACTCCAGGATCATGACCCGAGCTGAAGGCAGTTGCTTAACCAAATGAGCCACCCAGGTATAAGATTCTTTCCCCCTGCTCCCCACTGCCCCCGTACCCACTCTCCCCTCAAAAAACAAAAAACACTTCACAGGTGATCATTCCACACATCCCTAATTGAGACCCTCTGCTTTAGGGAGCGCCTACTAGAGCAAAGTGTTAGACTAAGTATTGTACATAAAAAGCAAACGTGGGGGACGCCTGGGTGGCTCAGTTGGTTAAGCAGCTGCCTTCGGCTCAGGTCATGATCCCAGCGTCCTGGGATCGAGTCCCACATCGGGCTCCTTGCTCTGCAGGGAGCCTGCTTCTCCCTCTGCCTCTGCCATTCTGTCTGCCTGTGCTCGCTCTCTCTCTCTCTCTCATAAATAAATTAAAAAAATCTTAAAAAAAAAAAAAAAAAAAAAAAGCAAACGTGGTAAGGTGTCTGCCTCCATGGAGCAAAGGAAGACAAGCCAGGAGCTATTCACCATACCAAGCAGGATATGCCATATAAGCTAATGGGAACCTATATGCACTCAGAATGGATTAACTCCAGTAATGCACAAAGAAGGTAAACAGGGATCATTAGAATGGGGCTCCCAGGGGTGCCTGGGTGGCTCAGTGGATTAAACCTCTGTCTTCAGCTCGGGTCATGATCCCAGGGTCCTGGGATGGAGCCCTGCATCAGGCTCTCTGCTCAGCGGGGAGCCTGCTTCCCTTCCTCTCTCTCTGCCTGCCTCTCTGCCTGCTTGTGATCTCTGTCAAATAAATAAATAAAATCTTTAAAAAAAAAAAAAAAAAAAAAAAGAACGGGGCTCCTGAAAAAAGGAGAGATGCCACAAAAGAAAGGGTTCTTTTTCTACCCCATCTATAAGAAGCCAACTTGAAAAACCTATTCACAGGCAACCACTAATATAAGATGACAGAGTACAGTTGTATCCATTCTGAATCTGCCCCAGAAATCCACTGAAATTAACAAAACCCCCTAAAATTAAGGAAGAATGAGAGAAGCACACATATAGATCCAACCATCACTTACCCTTTATGTGTTTAAGCAGAAGAATGAATACAGAGGTATAGATACCTCTCTAACACATATACCCCAGACTGGTACAGTGGGCAGAAAATATTCAGAGGTAAAACACTTGATTTAAAAGTACGCCAGTGTGATTCACAGACCTGTACCCCTGGGGATAAAAATAGGTTTATAAAAAAAAAAAATTCTAAAAAAAAAAAAAATAGTATGCCAGTGTGCTTGGGCAGAGGGAATCTGCCTACTTGTGATCTCTCTGTCAAATAAATAAAAGGTCTTAAAAAAAAAAAAAAAGTCTGGAATAATGAGCGCCTGGGTGGTTCAGTCTTGTAAGTGTCTGCCTTTGGCTCAGGTCATGATCCTGCGATCAAGCCCTGTGTCAGGCTCTCTGCTCAGTGGGGAGCCTGCTTCTCCCTCTCACCTGCTGCTCATGCTCTCTCACGCGTGTATGCACTCTGTCTCTCAAAGATATTAAAAAAAAAAATGTCCAGAATAATACACCTTTGGAAAAGTGGGTTCAGAGAAAAGGGAGAAATTCAGTGTTTAACTTTATATTCCTCTTAAGGGTTGGGGTTTTTAAATGAACATTTTTAAACAATTTTTATCTAAAAGAAAATAAATACATAGAAGTTTCAAGAAGCCTAAGGGACACAGAAAATGATCCTAGGACCATGAAGCAGTCCAAGAGCCAACACAATACAGAATCTAAGTTGAAAAGCACATACCGTTTTGGAAAGTTCACTTCCAGATTCCATAATGCGCAAACACAAAGGGATAATTTCTGTTGTCAATAAAAAGTTGATTACTTCCTGCTCATCTGTTTTCACTAGGGCCCCTAAAGAAAATATGGACAAACAAAATTGTTTCAGAGTCAGGGTTTTTAATGAAAATGAACTTTGTAGGGTTCATCCAGCTGGTTGTGGAACTTAAATAACAGAGAATACAAACTGGGGTTCATGCCAGAGAATCCGATTCAAACTGATATTAAAAAGAAAAAAAAAAAAAGAAAAGGAAGAGAAAGCACACATTGACTGAAATGTATCGGTCAGCATTTCAAAGATCAGGTACCAAGTTTGGTCCATCACAGAGTTAGCAGCAGGTCAGCCCTCTAAATCATTTTTCTATCACTCTTGGTAGACAACCACATAATAATATCACCATCTATTCTCCATTTATTTTAGGTAAGAGAGAAGAATTTTCTATCAGTAGAAAAGGATATTCGGACATAAACAAACATTGCTTCTTGGTTGTTTAACTATTACTTTCTTGAAGAAGTGCACACATGATAGGATATACCCAAATAACATACACACACACTCTAATCCTAGTTCTACAACTAGTTTGCCTAAATTTGTAAGAGTTACCATCTCTTTACAGGCCTCTGTTTATCTATAAAATAAGAATTGGAACAAATGGTTTTTAAAATTCATTCCGATTCTATTCTGTTGAGTTTTAACCTGACGCCATTGACCAGGCAACAGACACAGTTCAGTGTTAATTTCTCCATTCTGTACATACGGAAGCAGAGCCCCATTAAACAAATGACTGGTTCCCAAGCTGCCCAATGTATCAACTAGCTTTTATACAAAAAGGCCTAGATTAATCAGATCTGTAATAACCAAAATCAATCACTTTAGAAGAGAAAGGAGTATCATTTAACAAGAACTGGCAATCTACAAATGCTACATCTTTAAACGCCACAGCAAACAGCATATACCGTAATTCACTAATATGCCCTAAAGCAGGTGTCCAATTACTATTTCATTTTAACTTTACATGTAGGTCTAAAATCCATTCTGAGTTAATTTTTTTTTTAAAGATTTTATTTATTTGACAGAGAGAAACAGTGAGAGAGGGAACACAAGCAGAGGGAATGGGAGAAGGAGAAGCCGGCTTCCCGCCGAGCAGGGAGCCCGATGTAGGGCTCGAACCCAGGACCCTGGGATCATGACCTGAGCCGAACGCAGCCACTTAATGACTGAGCCACCCAGGTGCTCCCACTCTAATTTTATATACAGTACAAGGTATAGATCATGGTTCCTTGTTTTACATATGGATATCTAATTGTTCCAGCACCATTTATTGAAAAGACTATCCTTTCTCCACTAAACTGTCTTTGTACCTCTGTCAAAAATCAATTAACCGGGGCACCTGAGTGGCTCAGTGGGTTAAAGCCTCTGCCTTCAGCTCAGGTCATGATCCCAGGATCCTGGGATCAAGCCCCACATCGGGCTCTCTGCTCGGCAGGGAGTCAGCTTCCCTTCCTCTCTCTCTGCCTGCCTGTGATCTCTGTCTGCCAAAGAAATAAATAAAATCTTAAAAAAAAAAAATCAATTAACCATATCTGTATGGGTCAACTTCTGGACTCCCCAGTTCTGCTCCATTGATCTAGAAGTCTAGCTTTTCTCCAATACTATGCTGTCTTGAAAACTGGTTTTCCAGTAGGTCTCGAAATTAGGTAGTATACATCTTCCAGCTTTGTCCTTCTTTTTAAAAACTGGTATTCTAGGGGCGCCAGGGTGGCTCAGTTTGTTGAAAGACCGACTCTTGGTTTTAGCTCAGGTCACGATCTCAGGGTCCTGGGATTGAGCCCCATGTTGGGCTCTGCTTCCCCTCTTCCTCTGCCCCTGCCCGGGCTCACACATATGCTCTCTAAAATAAATAAATAAATCTTTTAAAACAAAACAAAAGAAACCCTGGATATTCTAGTTCATTTGCCTCTCCACGTAAATTTCAGAAAGAGCCTATCAGTTTCCATGAAAAAAAAGTTCTGGGATTTTGTTGGAATTGCCCTAACCCTATACAACCAGTCTGGGGAGAACGGACATCTCAACAATACTGAATCATTGATATACCAATCAATGAACACGGTATATCTCTGCATTTATTTAGGTTTTCTTTGACTTCTTTCATCATTGCCTTGTAGTTTTTTAGTTATAGATCTTGCACATCTTTTGTAAGACTTACATTATGTTTTGGTGCTATCACAAATGGTAGGTTTTTAAATTTTCAATTTCTGACTGTTTTAGCTAGCACATGAAAATGAACAATCTAATTTTTTCTAATTTGTATGCCTTTTATTTTTTTCTCTTGCCTTATTGCAACAGGTAGGATTTCCAGGATGATACTGAACGGGAGTAGTGAGAATAAATATCTTTGCCTTGTTCTCAATTTTGGGGGGACAACGCTTGGTTTTTCACATTAACTGTAATCTTAACTGTAGGATTTATTTTTTAAACTTATTTGGGTTGAGAAAGTTCCCTCTATTTCTACTTTGCTGGAGTTTTTATCATAAATGGATGCTGAGTACCATCAAAGGCTTTTTATTTTTTAAACTAAAGAAATGGTTATACATTGTTTCTTCTTTAGTCTGTTTATACGGCCAACTATATTGACTGATTTTTTTTTTAAGATTTGATTTTTAAATAATCTCTATATTCACTGTAGGTCTTGAATTCACAACCCTGAGATCAAGAGTTGCATACTTTAGCAACAGAGTCAACCAGACACCCCTGTATTGACTTTTTTTTTTTTTTAAAGAATTTATCTATTTGACAGAGAGAGATCATAAGTAGGCAGAGAGGCAGGCAGAGAGAGAGAGGGAAGCAGGCTCCCTGCCAAGCAGAGAGCCTGACTCGGGGCCCGATCCCAGAACCCCGAGATCATGACCTGAGCCGAAGGCAGAGGCTTAAACCACTGAGCCACCCAGGTGCCCCTGTATTGACTGACTTTTGAAAGTTAAACCACCATGCATTCCTGGGATAAACCCACTTCATCATGATGATCCTTTTTACATATTGTTGGACTTGATTTGTTAACATTTTGTTGAGAATTTCTGAATCTATGTTTTTGAGGGATAGAGCCCTATAGTTTTCTTATGTCTTTTTCTGGTTTTATTTCAGAGTAATTAATGCTAGCCTCATCAAGAGTTTATAAGTCTCTATGTTCTGGAAAAGTTTTGTAGAATTGGTTATTTCCGCTTTAAATTTTTGTTAGACTTCATCAGTGAAATCACTTGGGCCTGGAGTTTTCTATGATGGAAGGTTTTTAACTACAAAAACAAATTAATAGATGTAAAACTATTCAGATTGTCTATTTTCGCTTGAGTATAGTCTGGCAGACTGAATCTTTCATAAAATTTGTCCATTTCACCTAAGTCATCAAATTTATGGGCTTAGAGTTATTAGCAGTACTCCTTATTATTCTTCTAATGTCTATACAGTCTGTTATAACATGTACCTTTTCATTCCTGGAACCTGTAATTTGCGTTTTCTTTTTTTTCCTCCCAGTCTATCTGGTTAGAGGTTTATTAATTCCACTGAATTTTTTTCAGTAAAAAACTGGGGATGGGTGAATGGGTAAGGGTGGTCAAAAAGTATGAAACCTTCGGTTACAAAGAAGCCCTGCAGATGTAATATACAGTGACTATAGTAACAATATTGTATTGCATATTTGAAAGTTGTTAAGATGATAAATCTTAAAGGCTTTCATCACAAGAAAAAAAAATGTATAACTATGTGTGCTGCTGAATTTTTTAAAGATTTTAAGTAATCTCTACGCCCAATGTGGGACGTGAACTCAGCCCCGAGATCAGGAGTCCCATGCTCCGTCAACTGAGCCAGCCCATGTGTGGTGATGGATGTTAATGCAGTCATCATTCTCCAATACATACAAATATCTTTTTTATCCCCCTACAGTTAACTTTATCCTAACATCTCCTAGTGCATCATCTGCCTGTTGTGGTCAAAAATACCAGCAGAACCAGGACAATTTAAATCGGAATTAATGATAGAACTGTTTTCTTTTGGCTTGTTCATGTTTTAAATCCTACATGAGAAATTTTTATACTTAAAATTATAAAATATATTGGGGAAAAATGTTTCTAACTAAGACTACTACTTTGGAGGGGATGTAAAAAACAGTAACATTCATGTGGAGTACGAGATAGCAGCTACTCCTTAAATGTACAATAAAATGTTTCTGAGAAATATGTCTCAGAAATACTAAACTTTTCAACTGGTAAGAACAGACATTACACTTGATCTTAACCAAAAGGTCGAGAAGTGATAGAAGTATTAAACTCTTACAGTATACTTCCTGAGCTATGGCTTATAATTATAGGGATATGAAAACAGGTTGAACATAAACACAATAACCAAAGTTTATACAATCGATGTTCTTACTGTTTGGCCAGCATGTGAGCAAAAACTATGAGAAAAAGACACTGAAGGGAATTTAAAAAGAAACCCTTCTTGAATGTATTTATTTTTCATAAATCCAAAGACAGTTCTTTATTATCTGGGAGTCTGAGATCTGAAACAGCTAATATATTATTTTGTTGAGTAAAATGTACTTTAGACACATCTCCTATAGTAAATATACATGGAAACATTACCTTTGGCATGCAACAATTTAAGGAGGTGAAATAGAGGATGAACATCTATAGTTATAGGACAAAACCTTCAAAGTCAGAAAGAAACAAAACAACCAATACAAATTCTTTTTTTTTTTTTTTTTTGAAAAAAAATGTGCATGGGCTCAAGTCAGAGGTGCAGAGGGAGAGGCAAAGAGAGAAACCCAAGCGGCACCACACTCAGAACAGAACCCAACAGGGGCTCAGTCTCACAACCCCGAGATGATGACCTGAGCTGAAATCAAGAGTTGCACACTTAACAGACTGAGCCACCCAGGCATCCCCCTCCAAAAAAAACCCAACTCAAATTCTTATTTTTGCAATAATACTCTGTTGACTTCAGCTTGTTCTTTATTCTCCCCATGATTCCAGTAATCGTTTCTACACATATGCTGAATTTAATCCCAAATGCTGGGTCTTCACACCCTTATTAACAACACTCAGAAGGGTACTTGGTAAGAACCACTGTATTACTTAATAAATATTTATTATTTATTACTATTTATTATTATGCCCTCATTAGTGAAAATAGACTCAACCTCGAAGACAAAAATGAACAATTGGGGAACAAAAGCTATAAAAAACAAAACACCAAAGATTTCAGACTTGCAAAACCACCCCAATAACTTACCAATAACTCCAAGACTGGTTAGCCGAAGGTACTCAAAGGGCCGTGTTTTGCTGACAGTGTGCAAAAAGGGGTACAAAAAAAGTGGGATGTGTGCTGCAAGAAATGCTGACCTGGAAGAAAAACATAATCCCAATCAGAGCTCAGAGTTCATTTCTAAGGATTCTGAACATTCAATTTCCAGGCAGTTTAATTTGTTAGGGCCTGTAATGTCACGTAACCAAGGAATCTCTAGAAAAGAGTTGTTGGTCATTAGTTAGACCAGCGGTTCTTAGCTGGGGTGATTCTGCTCATCAGGGTACATGTGACAATGTCTGGAGATATTTTTGGTTGTCACAACCAATGGGGTGCTACTGGCGTCCAGTGAGCAGAGGCCAGGAATGCTGCTAAACATCCAACAGTGCACAGGAGAGCCCCCTTTCCTCCCCTTCCTCCCACCACAAAATCTAGCTCAAAATGGCAATGTCACGGTTAAAAAAATCTACTCTAGGTTTATGGTTAAGAGAATACACCATTTTCCCTGTAATTAGTACCAAGTTCCTAAAAAACTGATAAAATATCCAACTGTGGATTTTAAAAAGTAGGTCATAAAAATGCTATTAACTGCCCAGGAGAATCTCCTAGGTGCCTTCCCTCACCTAATTTATGACTGAATAATAATATTCACAGGTAAAGTCAGACAAAACATTATAAACCAAGATGAAGAAACAAAGCAGCCATTATGAGATTTATCTGCTATGTTTCTTTTTTTTTTTTTAAGATTTTATTTATTTATTTGACAGAGAGCACAAGTAGGCAGAGAGGCAGGCAGAGAGAGAGAGGAGAAAGCAGGCTCCCCGCTGAGCAGAGAGCCCGATGTGGGGCTCGATCCCAGCACCCTAGGATCATGACCGGAGCCGAAGGCAGAGGCTTTAACCCACTGAGCCACCCAGGCGCCCCTATCTGCTATGTTTCAATGCACACTGTTCTTTTTTTGTTAGAGTAGTTCTGATATACTAAGTATTCTAAAAACATTTTAAAGATTTGCTTATTTTAGAGAAAGAGAGCACACATGCAAATGGGGGAGGAACAGAAGGGGAGGGAGAGGGAAGGGAAAGAATCCCAAGCAGATTCCATGCTGAGTGTGGAACCCAACTTGGGGCTCGATCTCATGACCCTAAGATCAAGACCTGAGCTGAAACCAAGAATTAGAGGCCTAACCAACTGAGCCACACAGGTGCCCCTCTAAAAACATTGTAATCTGAAGCTAGTATCTCAGGCAACTAATATAGAACCAATCTATTACTTTGTATTATTTATAGATATCTAATCTTGTGGGAGAACAAACTCTTTAATTTTTTAACACTCAAAGTACTCTTGCATTTTCCTTAAGTGCTTAAGAATAATTTTCACAGTAACTTCTCTGAAATTCTGTGATGTCAGTGCCAACTTAGCACTCAGATTTTATAATTGATAAAGAGACAAAAGACTTTAATAAGATGACTGTTAAATGCCTTAGAACCATAAAGGTCACAAAACAGGATTATTGATCAGGATTTCCCTTTTCTTATCAGATGTAGCATGCCAACTGGCATGCCAATTCTGATCTGTTACCAGATTGCCTAGGATCCTGTGTTAAGAAAGATTATGAAGCCAAACTAGGTTCAGTGGGAAAAAAATACTGGGGTCAAATATTTACTGAACTGGTAGTAAATGCCATGCACTGTGCCTTACATAGGGATGCCTACCACAGATTCAGGAGGAAGAAATAACCTACATGCCTGATCTTTCTTGAGATGTGAACATCACTCTTACTTTAATTTTTTTAATAGTAAACTCTACCCCCAATGTGGGGCTCGAACTCATGACCCTGAGATCAAGAATCACACGCTCCACTGACTGAGCTGGCCACAGACCCCATGAACACTCCTTAATAGTTCATTGCTATGAATGGATGGGTAAAAAGTAAATGAGACAATGATTATTATTCAGCCTTAACGAGGAAGGAAATTCCGACATCTGTTACAACATGGATGTTACACTAAATGAGATAAGCCAAGCACAAAAAGACAAATATTGAAGGATTCCATTTAACTAAGGTAGTAGAGTAGTCAAAATCAAAGAGACACAAAGTAGAATGATGGTTACAGGGGGCTACAGGAATGGGCAATTACGGTTTAATGGGTACCGTTTTAGTTTTACACTATGAAAAGAGTTAAGGAGATGTATGGTGGGGATAGTTGCCCATTATAAATATATTTATTACTACTGAACTCTATGCTTAAAGATGGCTGAAATGGTAAGTTTCTGTCATATATATTTTACCATAATAAAAAAAACTTAGAACTAATAAACAATACTATGCTGGTACTACACGAAAACTTGGTGAATTAGAGAAGAGAAATTCTCCAGGGGAAAAAAAAAAAGCAGACAAGAATCCTCAAGATCCACATCTATGCACGTGCTTCCTACTCCTATGGCATGTCCTTCCGCTCATCAATCAGAAAAAGACCATATTTGATACAAACCTCCATCCAAGCACTCACCTGGTTTCTGGGTGTGATGCCACACATTGTAGTAATGCCAGAGCATTGCAAACTCTATTAGACTGGTGTGCTGTCAAAGTGGGTGGGTTGATAGATGGATAAATATTTACAATTTCCTAAAAAATGGAAACCAGCACCAGATGAATAAAGAATAACTATTTCACAATTAATTTTGATGGTATTAAAGCAAAACCCTACAAACCCCAACCCTTAATTCCATATATCCTGTAGCTGAATCATCAAAGTCCAGGCAAAAATAAATAATGCTATCTTTTCATTACAATATACCTGAGACTATGGGACATTTCTACGTAGGTCTCTAGTAGAAGATTCCTCTGGAGGAAACTGTGGTCACCTATATTTCCTCTTACATCCAGCATCTGTGGAGGCCTTTGCTTGAGGGGCTGTGGCTGTTATAATCCCCCTTTTTTTTTTTTTAAAGATTTTATTTATTTATTTGACAGACAGAGATCACAAGTAGGCAGAGAGGCAGGCAGAGAGAGAAAGAGAGGGAAGCAAGCTCTCCGCTGAGCAGAGAGCCCAATGCGGGGCTCGATCCCAGGACCCTTATCATGACCCGAGCCGAAGGCAGAGGCTTTAACCCACTGAGCCACCCAGGCGCCCCATAATCCCTTCTTTTTGTTAACACCCTGTTTTAAGTTACCATGACTAGATAATTGGTCAGATAGTAAGTGTCGGTAAATCAGCCACAGTACTTAGAAAGCAGTCTGAGTTTGGTCAGGTAGCAACTACAAAAAGGGAGAGATAAGAATAGGAATATATGCAGTGAATATGTATAATCTCTCTCCAAAGGGGATGATTTGCTGTATACAATTCCTTTTACTTTAACTGTAAAACTGTTATTGAAAATGTTCCTATAAAAAAGATTAGTTTTGGGGATTAAGAATATACCTATTGTGATAAGCAGTGAGTACAGAATTGTTCAACTGTTGAATCATTATGTTGAACACCTGAAACTAACAGAACATTGTATGCTAACTATACTTTAGTTAAAAAAGAGATTAGTTTCAGGCACCTGGGTGGCTTAGTTGGGTTAAGTGACTGCCTTCAACTCAGGTCATGATCCCAAAGTCCTGGTATTGAGTCCTACATTGGGCTCCCTGCTCAGCAGGGAGTCTGCTTCTCCCTCTCACCCTCTGCCCTCTCATGTTCTCTCACTCTCTGTCTCTCAAATAAATAAATAAAATCTTTAAAAAATAAAAATAAAAAATAAATTTTAAAAGGATTAGTTTCTTGGCTACATGAAGTAGGAACTGAATGCAAATTTACATAACAGATTTGAAAAATTAATTATTGGGAATTTTAGACAATACTTTAAAGGATGATTATGCCATTATCTTGGTATTTTAGGATTATACTGTATCAACTTATTCCTCACCAATGACCGTTACAGTCAGAACCACATTTCAGGGATTTATTCTTTAATGTACAAGCATACCTACTTCTAATCCTATAGATGTTATATCTTAACATTTCTGTTCACCAGAATATACTCTGCAGTTCTTATACTCTGCCTTCCACCTTTTCTCCTTTGTCACCTAGAAATGTCTTGTAGTAGTCCTAAAGCTGTGTTTCTCAAAGTGTGGTTCTCAGACTGCCTGCATCAGAATGACTTAAGAATGGAGCAGCTGCTTGTTAAAAACACAGATTTTTAATCTCAGATTAAATAAATCTTTTGGGTGAGATCTATTAACCTGCATTGCAATAAGCACCTTACACTTTTCTAAAACAGATTCTTAAAATGCTAACATTTAAAGAATCATTCTACTCAAGACTTCAAAATCATTTGAGCCAAGGCAGAGAGATAGTGTGGTGAACAGGACTCACCTGCAACTCCCAGATATATACCCACCTGTAAAAGTGCTGCAATAGTACCAAAAGAATGCCACAGCATGGGTGCAAGATCAGGAACAGATTCTCGCTTCTTACTCAGCTCCAGCAAAGCATTTTCCCTCGTCTCAGGACTGGACAGCTCATTGATCCACTGATAGATTTTTTCTCTATCTACCTGAGCCAGTGCAGTAGGCACAGGCTTTAAGTGAAAACAACAAAGTAAACATGTGAATTTCATTAGAATCAAACCAAGTCTTACTCTGCTTTAGAAGGAATATATTTTTTTCTAAATACCAGGAGAGCTTTTCTAAATATATACACTTAAGCCAATCTATCAAAATCCAAAATGCAGGGTGCCTGTGGCTCAGTTGGTTAAGCAACTGCCTTCGGCTCAGGTCATGACCCCGGGGTCCTGGGATCGAGTCCTACATAGGGCTCCCTTTGCTCTGAGGGGAGCCTGCTTCTCCCTCTCCTGCTGCCTATCACTCACCCTGCTTGTGCTCTTGCTCTGTCAAATAAATAAATCTTTAAAAAATAAAATCTAAAATGCATACATCCTTTAATAATTCCATGTTTAGGAATTTATCCAAGTATACTTGAGCTGTACTGAAGATACACCAGGATGTTTACTATTGCATTGTTTTGTTTTGTTTTAAAGATTTTACTTATTTATTTCTCAGAGAAAGAGAGAGAGACAGAGCACAAGCAGGCAGAGTCAGAGAGAGAAGCAGGCTCCCTGCTGAGCAAGGAGCCCGATGTGGGACTCTGATCCTAGGGACCCTGGGATCGTGACCTGAGCCGAAGGCAGCGGCTTAACCGACTGAGCCACCCAGGTGTCCCAGCTGTATTGTTTTAAAAGCAAAATCTTGAAATAGTAAATATCTACCAAAGGAAATTTTAAATATGTATGGGTACATCTATATTTGTAATACTATGTAGCCCTTTTTAAAAAATAGCTCTATATGTGCTGATACAAAATAAAAAAAACACAAAAAGTACAGAACCTTATATATAATCCATTAATATACACAACTGTATTCTTATATATTCATATACAATGTTTCTAGAATGACACATAACAGTAACAACTACAACAAGAAACTGTAATTACTGCTGAGGTAGGAACCTATAGGAGATATTTACTTTTTTTTTTTTAAAGATTTATTTGAGAGCGAGAGCACACAAGAGAGCATGTGAGCACATGGGGTGGGGGGTGGAGGGAACAGAGCGGGAGGGAGAGGGAAAGAATCCAAGCTAACTCTGGAGGAAGACCCTAATGCAGAGCTCAATCTCAAGACCCAATCTCAAGACACTGAGGTCATGACCTGAGCCAAAACCAAGAGTTGGAGGCTCAACCAACTGAGCCACCCAGGTGCCCTAATTTACTTTTTGTTGTATACAATAAAATCTACTGCATAGCTTAAACTTTTTTAAAGCATATACCTATAATAGTTCCTGAAAGAAAACAATTTATACCGTCTCCACCCATTGCTGGTCTCCTTCTGCAGTAATTCCAGCATCCTCCTCCATGGAGCAGAAAACCGATGTAATTTGGGAATGCTCCCCTTCTAATGATTCTTATACATACTCTAACTCAGTCCTTTTGAGAATCACTCATTACTTACTCATGTAGGGGCCACAGAGAGAACATTCTTTCATTATTGTACTAAAGCATCACACCATTCCAAAAAAACCCGAGCATTTCTATAATTCTCCATACTTGTCAAACAGCCTTGTGACCTTGGTTAAGTTCCTTAACTACTCTTCTGGAAAATAAGATAATAGGCTAGAAAAATGATTACCATTGCTATTTCTAGTTCTAATGTCCTAACAAACTCATGATTTCTAGCTCTATGCCCAATATTTTCTCACTTAATTCCCCCAACCAAGGGGAATAGATAGGTAGACAGGGTGAATTGGTAGAAAAAAGGCAACTACACTTTTAGATGAAAGAGCTAACACTCAGAGGAATTAACCTGCTCAATTCACCAAGTATGCAGTTGCATATTCCAGTGCCTTCTTGAACTGCCATGGGAATTACAGCTTCCCATGGCATTTACACGTTCTCACTACACTTTAGTGTGACAGAATGAAAACCTTACAATCGTCCATACGGAAAGATGAGGAACTGAGAGGACAACTGTCTTTGTTGAAGAACAAAAGTTAAGACAGACTATGAGGTGTACTCACCATCACTCTACCCAAGCTGAACAGCAGCCTTCTCTAAATGGAAGCTTGATGATAAGCTTTTAGTTTAATGTTTATCATTTCACTTGCTTGACAGAATGAACCACAAGGCGTTTTGCTAAATGGACTGAAATACCATGCAGCTCAAGTCTTCCTTAAGTGCCTTAGAGTAATCTGTCAGAAGGTGCTTTGTAGCTTCCTCCAGTGATGCTCCTCAAGGAAACACAGGCTCCCACAGCAACAATATGAACAGGGCAGTCCTTCCTATCCCCCAACAGCAAAAGCAGGACTGACCCACCACGTGCACTTTCCAGGCTGCTCCACATAGGCCCTCAACTTAAAATTATTTTTGGAAATGTAATTCCCACCAGAAGACAGGGTATGTTTATTTCAAGTATTACATCACCTTAAAAGCTCAGTGGAAACAAGGGCTAAAATTTCAGCTTTGGGTTTCCTGCCCAGTCCCTTGGATGACCCACAATCCAGTAACTAAAGGGGCTTCAGACACTCCCCCAGCAATACAGCATCTGTCTTGATTAGTCACACTCATGCAACTCTCCCTAAAGTCCTGTCTCCCGGACACCACCAGCAGTAAGCTCTATTGCCCCCACTAGTGCCAGCCTGAGACTTGTATCTGGAATTCCTATCCTCATGCTGCCCTGGGGAGCCCCAGGTGAACAGCAGGATGGACCGGTATCCCCCACTCCAGCATATCATCGCTTCTGGACACCAGGCCCCGCCCCTACACACTCCATTCCCAAAGCCCGCCTGACTCCAGCAAAGGGATGGAGTGATGTGAACACCCTAAAAGGCCAATGCCTGGTGACAACTTGGGTACCTAAGATCATGGCCACCTGCTGCCAGCAACACTCCAACTTTTTTTTTTTTTTTTTAATACTCAAACTTTTGAGGCTACTTACAGGAAATGAGCTTCCATGGGGCTTTGGTTGCAAGAGAGCTAGGGGTTCTGTAGCCATTCTAGCAATGGGAAGGCAGTGAGGGCAGTTCGATGCCAGGAAATACTTGGGATAAGAACCCTCCTTTACATTATCCCTGGTGAATTTTGCTCCCAACTTAATAGCAGGACTTAGTTTAAACCCACCGAATACCAATTTGTTATGGGATAAATACAATTTTTCTGAAAATAAAAATGGGAGCTAACATGTAGTGTTTACTCTGTCAGACACCGTCCCAAATAAATACTTGTCACCACCCTCACTTTACAGAGGAACAGAGAACTTATTTAACACTTAAGTGCCAAAGTCAAAATTTGAACCCAGGCAGCCTGGCAACAGAGTCTGTTCTCTTAACTGCTTTGCTAAGGTTGCTTCTCACCTGCCTGAAAGATTAGGTCTGATCTAAAGATGACTTTCAAAAAACAAAACAAACAAACAAACATTTCCTGTGACCTAGACAAGAGACGGGGAATATGTAAACATCTCAGACAAAAATTGAAATGTCACTGCTATGAGTTCAGCAGAATCTGAAAAACAATTAGCACCATGAATGATACCACTGAAGAGAAATTCTCAACTTAATTGAGATTACAAGATAGTTAATGATCATAATTTTAATAAGAAAGTCAGTGAGACCATTTGACATAATTCCCTATGTCAAATCATGGTTCACATGGGAATAATCTAGCTAGTGATAGCCACTAATGCACACTAACACACGCACACCTCCCCCACATATATCAACAGGTAATTTTATAATACATGCAGAAGTTTAGTTATTTTGGAAAATAAAAAAAAGGAAAATATATTTACATTTTCAGTTACATATTGATAAGTACAGATGACTTTTGAACATGGGTTTGAACAGCACATGTCCACTCATATGCAGATTTCTTCGATACAGTACAGTACTCTAAGTATATTTTCTCTTCCTTACAATTTGCCTTAACATTTTCTTCTACTTTGATAAGAATTTGGTATGTAATATTTATAACCTACAAAACAGGTGTTAATCAACTGTTATCAATAAAGTTAGTAGTCACTAGTAGGCGATTAGGAGGTAAGTTTTGGGGCAGTCAAAAGTTGCATGTTCAGGGTGCCTGGGTGGCTCAGTGGGTTGAGCCGCTGCCTTCGGCTCGGGTCATGATCTCGGGGTCCTGGGATCGAGTCCCGCATTGGGCTCTCTGCTCAGCAGGGAGCCTGCTTCCCCCTCTCTCTCTGCCTGCCTCTCTGCCTACTTGTGATCTCTGTCAAATAAACAAATAAAATCTTAAAAAAAAAAAAAAGTTGCATGTTCAGATTTTTGACTGTGTGCAGGGATTGGGGTCAGCACCCCTAACCCCCACCTTGTTCAAGGGTCACCTGTACTAATATTAACAACTGATGAAATACTTTGGACATTATCCTTTTTTTTTTTTAAGATTTTATTTATTTGACAGAGAGAGATCACAAATAGGCAGAGAGGCAGGCAGAGAGAGAGAGAGAGAGAGGAGGAACAGGCTCCCCGCTGAGCAGAGAGCCCAATGCGGGACTCGATCCCAGGACCCAGAGATCATGACCTGAGCCGAAGGCAGAGGTTTAACCCACTGAGCCACCCAGGTGCCCCTTTGGACATTATCCTTAAATAAAATTCCAAAGCATAACTCCAGCATCTCACTAGATTTTCATGGTAATAAAACCCCCAAATGTATCTTACTCTCCTTCTAAATCCCAAGGATCATTTAGGCACACCTTTCACAAAAATATGAGAATCTAGAAATCGAGGTCTTCCTAAAAGGGTGTGAGAAGTGAAAGAGGGAGTGGGGCGAATGAGAGACGAAACAGAACTATACTGTACACTTTATTTACACAGGTATGTATTTTTGAGAGAGAGAGAAAGAGAAAGCATGTGTACGCAAGCAGGGCAGAGGGAGATGTGTTTATTTTTAAAGATTTATTTATTTATTTGAGAGAGAGAAAGCGCGAGCATGAGCAGGGGGGAGAGGGAGAAGCAGGCTCCCTGCTGAGCCAGGAGCCCCACTAAGGGATCGATCCCAGGACCCTGGGATCACGACCT